TGGGTAAGGACCATAACAAAAAGTGTTTGGGGGTTCAATGAACCCCCTCATCTCCATGAGCACACAAATGTTCTTCCACATATTTCCTTTCCTAGGTTTTACAAAGAGCGATGATTGAGGTGGATGAAGAAGGTACAGAGGCAATGGCAGGAACCCTATCAGAAATCACTGCTTATTACATGCCTCCCATCATCAGAGTGGACCGGCCATTTCTCTTCATCGTCTATGAAGAAACCTCCAGAACCGTGCTATTTCTGGGCCGGGTGGTGAATCCGACTCTCCTGTGATTTACAGCACGCGTGAGTCCTTGGATCTACAGCAATGCTGGATCCGAGGTGTTTGAACCCACAAGGACATTGGCCCTGGGCGTCCCCTCTTGTCCTCAAGTACTAGTTGAGCCATTCTTAGATAGATCTGCATAAGAAATTCAAGCTTATTTTAAGGAGATATTTGTACGAGCTGGCTGGTATTTTAAGCCTGTTTGTAAGAGCCTATGTTATTAACAGAAACCATCTTGGTATCTGGACTTAGCAGAACTCTATTTCAAGATGAAGTCTTTGGGAAGAAGACAAGTACACATTCTCCATGGGTCATGCGCTTCACTCTCTTTACTGCTCCCTGATGGAAATTAGTGTATTATTTTAACCTACTATAGAATAATTTCTTGGTGACTAAAATTAGAAAAAAGAGAGCTATAGTCAGGCCTGATCACAGCATCTGCCACCATGTGGTTTTGTCTACGCCATGGAGCCATTAACTGAGCTACAGATCTTCCAGTTCAATCTCTTAATTTTTTTATACAAAGCCAAGAAACGGGAAACCAGAGAAAGGGCCACAGTAAGGGTTTCATGGGGCTTCCCAGGTGGCGCTAGTGGTAAAGAACCCGCCTGCCAGTGCAAGAGACATTGAGAGACTGGAGTTCAATCCCTGGGCTGGGAAGATCCCCTGGAGGAAGGCATGGCAACCCACTCCAGTATTCTTGCCTAGAGAATCCCCAGAGGAGCCTGGTGGGCCACAGTCCATAGGGTCACAAAGAGTCGGACACAACTGAGTGACTAAGCACAAATGGATGCACGCAAGGCTTTCATGGGCCCCAAGCCCTTTTGCCTCTGTGGATTCCTTCTTCCATTTTATACACACACACACACATATACATATATGTGTATATACATATATATACACACACACACATATGTGTGTATAATAAAAATATTTTATGACTGCATTTGTATAAAGGTGAATATATTCTGGGTTATATCTGTCTTTATATTAACACAAAGCATGGAACTTGTTTATAGCAAGAAGACAGACATCTTCATGGGTCCCTGAAAGTATTGTGAGCCTGACGTCCTATGCCTACAGCATCTAATGGAGAAATCATGCAGAGCATCTCAGAGGAAGGAAAACCAGTGCAGCAATGGCAGAGTCAGGGCCCTGCCAGTCCTGACTCCATGCCCCAAGCCCATTCCACTCTTTCCTCTTTCCGTCTAAAGCATCTCATGGGGTGCAGTTCAACAGGCGGCATGTGCTCACGTCTCAGTTACCCGTTGTGATTAAACAGAATGTAAGCATGGACTTTGTCCCAAGGTTCAAAGAAAGATAACAAAACAGTTTCTGAGCCCGTCATCATCTTTTATAGAGATAAGAAAATATTTTAGGAGTAAATTCAGAGACTCAGGAGTAGAGTTAACTATTTTTGGAATGTCAACTAGGTTGACTAACCACCTAACTGGATTTTTATCTGTTTGCTAGCCAATTTAAATATACTTAAATTTACTGTATAGTTATTCCTCTTATTACAACTGACAGATTTATGTGAATAGTACCTAATGTGAATAGATAATAATAATAAACTGCAGTCTAGAGACTGACTGTTTATCATTCTAAAACCTGGATATTAGTTCATTCCTGTATGCCCTTCACATGCACTAACTGCTATCAGTAAGCCAGGCAACTCTAGGGCCTAGAAAGAAACAAAAATAGAGGACTAACCTCAGTTGACATCCTTAAGTGACTTGTTACTATTCAATTAATGAGGTTCATTTGTAGAAAAATAGCAGAAAGAGAAATAAAAGAGGGCTCAGTCAAATTACTCATGATTTTAGTAATGAAATCTAAGGAAGAAAGCCACAACACCCTCTGAAATAAACTGTGTTTAGAGAACACAATACCCTCTGAAATAAATTGGCCAAACCCAGTGATAAAAGGTTCATTATTATCAAAGGATTCATAGAACATATACTCAAACTCTTGCCTTCTCTGCACATATTTGCACAGAACGATGATGACATGGGACAATATCTGACGCATTACTCTTTAAGGCAGAAAATGGCCCTATTTGCTATAAAAAAAAATTAGTATTTCCCCACATATGCTTAAGAAGCTCCAAGGATACTAGATTTTCTAAATATGTATGCATGGTGAAAAAGGCAGATCAAGGAAAAATATAACTGATCTTACAAAAAAACCTGTTTCAACCGAAGAGGAAAATTCTGAATATTCTAACAACACTTCACTATATTTAAGGGTCAGATTTTAAAAACTGTTCCTGCACAGACACATATACACTCATACTCACTTCCTAACACACATGCCACAACTGAGATCAGATTATTGAATTAACTGAATTAATTTTATCTTCATGGTATAAACCCTAGTCAAGCTGAAGATACTGTTCTATTTCAATTCAAATTATTTCACATATGCCACTGACTGTAGGTAAAATGGACTCACTCTTCCAGAATAAGGCGTCTTTATAAAGCCCAGGAAGTCAAGTAACAAAAATGATTTTTAAATGTAACAAAGTTATGGGAGCAAAGCTCTATATGCTCTTCTCTATTAAGTAAAATCTTTTTAGCTCTATTTCTGTCAGTAAGATTGATTCTACAGGTCTGTTTTTTTGCTTATAATGCTGATTAGTGACGTTCTAGAACCTATCCTTAAAACTGCAAGTTTCCATAATTAACAGAGATGTTTCTATTTTTCTGCAGCTATAGTTAGAGAGATATGTCTTTGTCATACAACTGGTTGAAAGGAACTATTTGATAACCTGTTAGACTGGGAACTTTTTCAAGAGTATCAATCATTGTTTCTGGTAGAAACTGAGATACATACGGATATTCATAAATGTCACCACTTGTTTTTTGCTCTATGTATCTGTCCTTGGAAGTATAATTTTAACAAATATTTCAACAATTTTAGTAATTATCATGTTCTCTTGGAAAAAAAGAAAACCTCTAAACATAAGTTTGATTGACTGTCTTAATTGATAATTTAGTGCCTAAGGTAAGACTGCAGCTGACTTCTGTAGATTTCTGAGCTTTATAAGCATTAGTGACTTTTCTGTCAAATCATTTTCTTCTTCCCCTGCATGCATGGTAAAGAAAAGGTCCTAACTCTGCCAAACTTATTACTGAGCAAATAAAATTCTGCATTCTACTTAAAGTAACAGAGTCAGTGCTGACTAAGAACTAAAGTGCTAGAAAAACCGATACCGCTCTGACATCCATTGTGTGCCCCAGACGCTCTCTCCTAGATCATGATGTATTCAGTTCCACGCTAGTGATGTTAGTAGGAGACATCACTAACATGGCTAAGTGAAATCCACAAAGAATGTATGAAGTAACCAGTATTGTCAAGCTTCTCATACCTAACCAATTTTTAACTGCTGACAAAATGAATGGTTGAACAATTCCATTTACCTGATGGTCCTTCAATGAAAGATATTAAGCATCACTAAAAATAGCCAAAAAAGAGGCCATAGGTAAGGAAAGGGGGAAAACAAATACCATGAAAGCCTCATACTGAGTAGCTGTCCCCTTGGGTGATTTTAGTTGATGTCTGTGCCCTTTTCTTGTTCATTACTTAAAAATAAACTGTCTTTAATTACAGAATAAAAACTACAGAAAATATTTAAAACTGTTTTCACAAACACAGGTATCTCATTAACCTATGTTTTATTTTGAGTAAATTCATTATTCATTATTTCACATTATAAAAAGTAACCACACACGCATATGCATTCACAAATTAGATCATCTTTATCATACATCAATATATTTTTTAAAAAAAACAAATATTTTCAATATCAATATAATTATATGCTGACTGCATTTTGAAATAGAGAAGCTGACAATAGCTTCATACAGTATATCTCAAGAACTGACATTTTTAAAATTAAGAACTGTATAGGTTCCTCAGGCAAATTTTGATGGAAATAATAGCATTAGTACAAATAAATGCTGTTGACATAGCTTAAGCATGATAGCTTGGAATAACAGCTGATTCAAACTAGATTCATCATTTCTAATTCAGTAAGGACAAATACAATCTAAAATGTAAACAAAGTATTTATAAAATAAATTCTTCTAGGTAACAAAGGAAATCATCAATCTATTATTTTTAAGGTAGTTGTAGCTAAAAGTTATCAGAAATCTTTGTAGAATTTTCGTTGCCAAATTTTAATTTCGGAATGTCCAGGTACAACATCCTGTCACCACAATCACAGGACTGATACAATTTCGGACAGCTGTTTGTACCGTTTCAGTGTGACTTTTCTGTTGGGCTTGGAGATTCGTGAGAAAATGCAGTGTCTTTTTTACTCACAAGTCCCCCTTCAAGTGATTAGCTAGGCAGGGTGATTTCAGTTGATTTGGGCCTTTCATACAATTTTTAAATGCTAAACTCTAGCACAGTTAAATAGATGGTTTCCTGCACAAATAAATGCAGACATCTCTTTTGTAGCAGTAGTTAAAGCACATACCTAATGTTGTTTTTATTACACTTCACTATAACATTGGAATTCTGTAACCACATTATTGTTCAAGAAATATATATTATACCTCCTAGGGAATATAATTTCAAATATGGAACGTTTAACAACATCAGCTGCCATTATGTATCTCTCTCTTTTCCAGTCATCAGCCATTGCTTTAGCTTTTGTTCATCAATCACATTATCTCCAGTTGTCTTTGTTTTGCCTCCTTCATCAAGGAGATGGACTAAGGATTGGATTTTCTGGATTTTCTTTGTCAGAAAAGAAGCAAGAAAGAAAGAAGAGAAGGAAGGAAGCGGGGGGGGGGGGGGGGGGAGGAGAAAACAGAATAAAAAAGAAAACAAAACATGAAAAAGTTTATCCATATAATACTTACAAAGTAAAGCAACTGATACAATCTACTTTGAAAAAACCTAATATATGAGAACTGCAATTAAGTAGACAAGTGAATGACATGTTAAAGTTTACTTGGAATAACATTTAATTACTCAATCTTATGTGCATCTAACACAGCATTCAATTCAATTCATACTTTTCCTGTTTTTCATTTCTATAACCATAGAGGAAATTAACACAACCTAAAATTATCAATCATCTGGCCTTGTAAAACATAAGATATGATGCATTCCTAAACTTCCCTTAAGACACTGATATTTTTAAATGCCAGATGTATCATCTTTATGACAATGGAAGGTTGGAGAATATATTGCATAGAATTTTTTTAAGCAGCAAAACTGAGATAATTAATACTTTCTGAAATCACTTCACACACTTATTTTAAGCAAAAAGGACAGATTTTCATTTGGATGTGCCATAGTGCTGAATGGTGGATAAGAGTCCGCAGAAACATGACTAGCATCTACAGATACTGATCACTTATTGCAGTTATGTGGCAGTGTGCATTCATGAGAAAGTCTAAATTAGAACCACATAACATGGAGAGAGTTTTGGACCTGGAGATTCAGTTACACATTAACCAAGCAGCTGTGATACCAATACACCTCCTACTTCCGAATATTCAGAAAAAAAACAAACTTCACGTGACTGGTTAGCAGTGTTTGTTTCTAGATTCATTTTTTAAACAATTATATATGCAACTGATTATATGATTATTTCTATAACTATATATTATAAATATTGAGCAAAATAAAATTTAGTCCATAAAAAGGAAAAGCATGCTCAACAATGAAAGAACACATAAAGAAGTCATCTGAAGTAATGATCAGTCGCTCAGTTGTGTCCGACTTGTTACGGCCGCATGGACTGTAGCCCACCAGATGCCTCTGTCCATGGGAATTCTGAGGCAAGAGTACTGGAGTGGGTTGCCATTTCCTCCTCCAGGGGATCTTCCCAACCCAGTGATCGAATTTACCCATTGCTTGTGTCTTCTGCATTGGTAAGTGGATTCTTTACAACTGGTGCCAATAATGGAGAGTTGGTATAAGTAGATTAGGCTGCAATGTTCTTTACTTTTAACAATAAATGACTATCGCATTTAGAAAGATGAGAAGAGAATGAATTGCATTCTGATATTATTAAATGTGTTCTTCAATAGAAGAATTCCACAACAGTCTTTTGAGAGGAAGAGGGTCAAGAGTGATCAAGAGGAAGGATTGTAGGATGTCAAAAGGTTAGGTGCCTCAGAGGATGAACTGAGCCTGTCCTGTCATTTCACAGAGGGGCACAGCGAGGACCAGAGTGCTGACATGAACTGCACTTGGGAACCAGAGCACACGGCTCCAGCTCTGTGCTCTCCATAGATCATTACCCTGTCCTGCCTCTATTTCAAGACTTTAACTGGAACTTCCATTGTACAGTCATTAGAGCAATAATTGTATGGCTAAGAGATTCTCTGTAGTAACACTACTAACCTGTACCATCAATATTATTTTTTCTGTTTACTATCAATTTTTTTCTATTATATAGTCCCACCCGTTCCTTGAGCTCTATTCAATAAATATGCTTCTAAGTTTTAAATTAATTTGGAATATATCTAATATTTGTATATACCAATGGCCAATTAAAAATTTAGAACAAATTATAATACAGTTCAGTCTAAATGGGACTCCAGTATGGAGCTTCTGATGTGCAAAAAGATGCACAATGGAAACTTTATTAGAAAATATTCATCAAAATATTCATGAATTACCCTGATAGCTCAGTTGGTAAAAAATCCGCCTGCAATGCAGGCAGGAGACCCCAGTTCAATTCCTGGGTTGGGAAGATCCCCTGGAGAAGGGAAAGGCTATCCACTCCAGTATTCTGGCCTGGAGAATTCTGTGAACTGTATAGTAAGTAGGGTTGCAAAGACTTGGACATGACTGATTTTCATTTTCACTTCATTCATGAATTAAGTGAACTATGTTTAAAAGAAAATCTGAATCCTGTTTAAATTCTCTTCTAATCAGAAGAGCCAGGTGTCCCATATGGAAGAGGAAACCCCTAACTATAGTTTGGGCATCTTGGATGAATCGCTTCTACGTGGATATGACCTCTACCAACGTTGATTTTTTCTCCCCACTACCCTCTTACATGTTTAACCTAAGAGAAACAAAGGTTTCAACAATTCAAATAAGATACAACTGGTGCATAAAAAGGAACGGAACAAATGTCCGTAGCAATCTCTAGCTTATTGGACCCACAACTCTAGATTATATGCTGCAGTAGTATTTCTTAACTGGCATCATTACACCCATCCTTCTGAGCACTGGGTGATTAAATACCATGACCTTAAGCTAGTTCTGTTGTTGCTGTTGTTTTAGCCTCTTAAGTCATATCTGACTCTTTGCAACCCCATAGACTATAGCCAGCCAGACTCCTCTGTCCATGGGATTTTCCAGGCAAGAATACTGTAGTGGGTTGCCATTTTCTTCTCCAGGGGATCTTCCCGACACAGGAATCAAACTCACGTCTCCTGCATTGCAAGCAGATCTTTACTGCTGAGCCACCAGGGAAGCCCAAGCTAGTTGTTTTAAAGGAATGCAAACATTTCACAGAAAAATACACAGATCTCAGCTCAGCTATTAATGGGAGCCATTTAAAGTTTCCTGTCAACTCCCTAAGGTTACAATGTCTTTGCCACATATAAATTATCTTATATAAAATACGTAACATAACCAGAGGCCTGTGTTTTAACTGATAGCATTTACTCATTACAGACCCTTCCTATTCCTTGCAAACTATTTAAGAGGGAAGGAAAGTACACTAAGAAAAAGAACGAATAAAACACTTAGCAGTCCACCACTGGATTACTTACAAGGTAGCCTTCCGTGGTTGTGTATCTTTACTTCCACTGCTCTTGGGATCAACTGAGTTACCTGTCCCTCGGGAGGTGCTGGGCAGGGAGGTATTAGAAGAAAAGGAACTGGGAGCACTATTGGTGTTACGAGTCCGGAATGAGTCATCTGAAAGGAACACACGTACAGTCAGCCAGATGGAGTCCACTAGAGAGATGTGAACCTTCAAGAAGGTTCATGAGAGCTGACTTTTCCCCTTCATTTAAGGCCAATTTTACTAAGGTATAAATTATATACAATAGACTGCACAAATTTAAGGTCCTGAAATTTGTATATACTATGAAGCCATAACCACAATTAAGAGTGAACAGACCCATCACATTTGCTCCTGCCTCATCATCTCTCCATTCCCTCTCTGATGCCAGGCAACCACGAACCTGCCTGCTGCTGCTCACTACAGATTAGTCTGCATTTCATGAAATTTCATATAAATGGACTCAGACAGTATACACTCTTCTTTTGTCTGACTTCTTTCATTCAGCATAATTATGTTGCAACTCATCCTTATTTTATACATCAATACTTTATCCTTTTTATTGCTGACCAGCACTCCTATTGACCAATATTCCTGTAGAAGGAAATGGCATCACACTCCAGTATTTCCGCCTGGAGAATCCCATGGACAGAGGAGCCTGGGTGGGCTCCAGTCATTGGGTTGCAGAGTAGGACACGACTGAGCGACTGAGCACATTCCTATTGCACGGACATGTCGAAATTTGTCTATCCATTCTCCTATTGATAGACAACATGATTCCCCCCCCTTATAATCTATTACAAATAAAGCTGTTGTGAATGATAGTGTGCAAGTTTGTATGTGGACATGTGTTTTCTCTTTCGTTAAGTCTTGAATGGAACTGCTGAATCATGTAGTCGGTGTATATTTAATTTCCTAAGAAACTGCCAAATTGCTGTCTGAAGTGGTTATACCACTTTGCATTTCCAGCAGCAATATATGAGAGTCCTGGAGGGTTACTACATATCCTCACACACTTGACATTGTGAGTGTTTTTAAACACTAGTGGATGTGATGTGGTATCTCCTTGTGCGTGTGTGACTTCTTTCTCATTGCATTAACTTTCATTTCTCTAATGTTACTGATCTTAAGCATCTTTTTACTTACTTGTACATCTTCTCCTGTGAAATGCCTGTTCAAATCTTTTTCTCATTTTAAATCAGTTTCCTGATTTGTTTTAAAGATTATTGTATATTCTAAAAACTAAAAATAGAGCTACCATATGATCCTGCAATCCACTCCTGGGCATATACCCAGAGAAAACCATAGTATGAAAAGATAAATGCACCCCAGTGTTCATTGCAGCACTATTTGTAATAGCCAAGGCATTAGAAGCAAACTAAATGTCCATCAATAAATGAATGGATTAAGATGATTTGGTGGAATATGGAATATTACTCAACCATAAAAATACAGTAATGCCATTAGCAGCATTTGAATGGACCTATGATAGTAGATTGTCATACCATGTGAAGTAAGCCAGGGAACAATAAATATATCACTTATATGTAGAATCTAAATAAAGAAAAAAGATATAAATGAACTTATTTCCAAAACAGAAAGAGACTCACAGACATAGGAAACATAAAGAGGGTGGCAGGAGGGATAAATTAGGATATATACCATATACACACTGCTATATATAAAACAGATAGCCAACAAGGATCTATTGAATGGCAAAAGGCATGTGACTCAGTCGTGTCTGACTCTTTGTGACCCCATGGACTGTAGCCAGCCAGGCTCCTCTCTGTCCATGGAATTTTCCAGGCAAGAATACTGGAGTGGTTTGCCATTTCCTTCTCCAGGGAATCTTCTTGACCCAGGAATTGAACCTGTGTCTCTTGAGCCTCCTGTATTGGTAGGCAGATTCTTTACTAGTTGAGCCACTGGAGAAGCCAGCACAAGGAACTAGACTCAATATTTTGTAATAATCTATAAGGGAAGAGAATCTGAAGAATATATATATATAACCGAATCACTGTGCTTGTACACCTGAAACTAACAATATTGTAAATCAACTATACTTCAATTTAATTAAAAAAAAAAAAAACTTGTATATTCTAGATACAAGTCCTTTGTCAGGTATATGTAACATGAATATTTTCTCCCAATCTGTGTCCTGCCTTTTACTTTTTTAACACTCTATTTCGAAGTGTTAAAGTTTTAAACTTTAATGAAGTACAGTAAGTTAATTTTTTATGGTTTGGAGAAATTTTTGTCAACTCTAAAATCACAAAGACTTACTTCTATATTTTCTTCAGAAATATCACATTTTTAACTTTTAAATTTACAAAACATTTTGAGTTAATTTTGTGTATAGTGTGAGATAAGAATTAAGGTTCAGTTTTTTGGGTTTATTATGGGCATTCAATTGTTTTAGCATCAAAAAATTTTAGTAAAAAAAAATTACAATTCTATCACCATTGATTTATCAAGGAACCTTTCTTAAAACTCAGCTAACTATGTTTGTCAGTGTAGGTCATACAGTTTTGAGTACTGAAGCTTTAGGAGAATGCTATCAGGTAATTGTTATTTTTTCTTTTTCAAAATACTCAGTTCTGTGTATATACACAGTAACTTTCAAAAACATTTTTATCAGGATTGCATTGAATCTCTGGCTCAAATAAAAAACAATTGACATCATAACAATATTAAGTTTTCCAATCAATGAACAAGGTATACTTTCTATTTATTTATGTCTAATTTCTTCCAGCAATGTTAGTGTGTATCTAGCAAACATTTTGCTAAATTTGATCCCTGAGCATTTAATATTTTTGAGGTTATTTTAAATGTTATCTTCAAATAGACATAATTTTTTAAAGTATAGAAAAATTGAGACGAGTATGAAGAATTCCCACCTAACCCCATAGTTCAGTCAGTTCAGTTCAGCCATTCAGTCATGTCTGACTCTTTGTGACCCCACGGACTGCAGCACGCCAGGCTTCCCTGTCCATCACCAACTCCCGGAGCTTGCTCAAACTCATGTCCATCGGGTCAGTGATGTCATCCAACCATCTTGTCCTGTGTCGTCCCCTTCTTCTCCCACCTTCAATCTTTCCCAAAATTAGGGTCCTTTTTATTAATGCCTTACATTTATATACTATACTTGGTACAATCAATGAGCCAATGGTAACATGATATTACTGACAAAATCCACAGCGTGTTCAGATTTCCTCAGTATCACCCAGTGCCTGTTTCTGTCTAAGGATACCGCCCAGGACACCGCAGTGCACTTCCTTGCCAGGTCTGCTTTGCTGGGACAGTTTCCTAGCCTCCCCTCGCCTTTGACGACCTTAACAGCTGTGAGGGGCCTGGTCAGGTATTTGTAGGATGTGCCTCTACTGGGATCTGTCTGACACTTTTCTCACAATTAGACTGATGTTATAGGTTTGAGGTAGGATGACAGAGTTATCGTAGTATTTTCATCACATCGTATCAAGGGTGCACACTGACAAATCTTTTTTCTGTTTTCTGTTTTTTTATTTTATACTTCATGACAGATCACTAGAAATGGGATTTTTTGAGGAAACATTTTAAAAAACTAGGATTCTTGATGAACTTAACCAAATTGCTCCCAAAAGCTTCCACAGATTTTCATACCCACCTGCAATGGATACATTGCAATTTGTTTCCATGAATCCTTACTAGAATTCCCTTTACATTTCCTCCAGCCTGTGGTGCCTACAGAGCTCTGGAATGCTGCAACTGATGACTGATGGTACATGTTCAGTAAAAAGTATTAATGTGAGTTCCCACACTGCGTCTTTGACCCTTCCGTTTATTAATTTAGCACTGCCCACCCCCACCACCCACACTCTCTCCACACTCCGGCCTAGCAGGCTGGTGCTGTTCTCTGAAGACCAAACAGTCAGCTCTCACTTCTGACAGGCTCTCTGAGGGGGACGGTATTCCATGCCCACCTCTGCCTGTCAAAGTTCTAGAGCACCTTTCGGTTCATCGCAAATGACAAGCATTCTGAAGCTCATCTTCACTCCCAAAGTAAGTAAAATCTCTATGTGAACACCTAATATATTTGTTTAGAAATATTTTGCTCCCATTTTCTCATTATAGAGCAGATATATAATTGTATAGTGATGTTTTCCTCAGTCTGCAATTCATTAAGTAATAAATAATAAGCACATTTTTCTAGCCAAGACACCTAGGAAATTCTTCATTCAATTTATTTCCTCTCCCAAAAATAATACTGAAACTTTCAGACAATATTTTTCAAATATTTTAATAAATGATTTACCCTATGAAAGATATGCTTTTTAGGCCATGGATATTAAACTTTAGAATCTGCAGATCATACACAGGCCTACCTCAATTTATTGCTCTTCACTTTATTGCAGATAAAACTGATAATGCATTTTTGGGGGTTTTTTTGGTTTTTTTTACAAATTGAAAGGTTTGTGACAACACTGCATCCAGAAAGTCTACCAGAACCATTTTTCCAATAGTATTTGCTCACTTCTTGTCTTTGTGTCATATTTTGATAATTCCTGCAATATTTCCAACTGTTTCCTTGTTATTATATTTACGGTGGTGTCTGTGATCAGTAATGTTTGATGTTACTATTGAAACTGTCTCTGGGCATCATGAACCACATCCATGTAAGATGGCAAACCTAACTGATGAATGCTGTATGTGTTCTGACCGCTTCACTTTCTGGCCATTCCCTGATCACTCTCCCTCCACAGGCCTCCTTGTTCCCTGAGATACAACAATATTGTGTCCAATAAAAGCCACATCTACTTGTTATCTCTTGTCTGTGGCTGCTTTTACTCTGCTATACTACAGTTGAGTAATTGTGACAGAAACCAATTTGGCCAAGAGAATGCAAAATATTTACCATGTGGTCCTTTACAGAGAAGTTTGCTTATCCCTGGTATAAACTTTAAGTATGTAATACTCTAACGGTTTAGCTGCATATGATCCACAGTGAAGCCTTAGTGTTTTTAACTTCCTTAAAAATTACTGCAAAAACTTTTAGTCCATGCCTGAGCAGTCTTCAGACTGCAGTAAAACCTATCCTATCATTTTGTACTTCTCCTCTTTTAAAAGTATTGATCTCTGATGCCTGACACAGTGAAAACAAAATAGTATTGTCAGGCATTTTAATTGCTGGGGAAAGTTTCTTTGCTATTTGATAAAGACATAAATTTGGGAAACTGTATCTAGAAATAAAGAAATGAGTCATTTAAAGAAAACTGTATTTTATTAAATTTAATAATTATTTGACGAGCTCAGATTTCTACTTACCAGTTAGTGAAATCATAGAAGTCTTTGATAAACCTGAGACAGAAGATGTATATGCTGCTGTAGAACTTTTACTAGAAAAGAACATGATTTAGTTAAAATACAAGAAAATGCGTCTTTCAGTCTCAGTCATTGATGAGAAAACACCACTAGGTCTTTCCTAACGTTTCCTTAGTGCTTCCTCTGCTTGTTACGAAACATGCTTACTACTTTTATTTCTTATTTATTTTTTACATTCCACCCCTCACAACAATTACTTTAAGTTAAAAACATTTCCTAAACTTCTGCTACATCAGCATAATGGTTTTTCTTTTGATACACAGCCAAAACAGATAATAGAGATAAAATTTTCCTAGGAATAACGCATCTTTAGTTCTATTCTCTTTTGCCCATCTTGAGATCACCCTATTGGCTAGGAACTCTAAAATAATTCTACCAATAATGTCCAAAAACATAGCTGAACCACATCCAGATTAAGCTTTTTTTTTCAATTTTTTACAAAAAGTTTTAAAAAAAATAAAAGAAAAACATTCATTTTTTCCATAACATAGTCTTTTTCTTGATAAATAATTTTAAAGACATTTACGGTTCCTTAAAATTACTTTGCTTGCTGATTGATAGGCAGCTGTTACATATTTACTATATGTATACAATATATTATAAGAGTCACGGTCATTTAACTTATTCTGATTCTCCCCTAGTCTTAACTGTTTATAATTTTGTCTGCTGGGCCAAAAGGGAGACTAGACATGCAACCACAGTCAGGAGAACTCTGTTGTGACCATTTTACCACAGAAAGAGGCCAGTGGTTTCTTCATGGACAGAAATAACACAAACAGCAAATGTATATCACATTTATTCAGTGAATGGGGCATGTCCACACCCGTTTAGAAGCCGTGTGGCACATGTGATATAGCACCACTCTCCTCATAAAATGATATACAGATTCCATGATGTTGTTACACAGGATTGGGGAAGGAGACTTCCTAGAATTCCAGGATAACTGTTCTTATGCAAATTGGTAAGACTACTATTTTTCTTAATATTAAATCTTTATAGAAGGTAACTTATTATTTACCTATGAAAAACCTCAAAATTAATCCCAATTTTATATAATAATGTAAACATCTCACATAAAGATGTGTTAAAATAAAAATTAAGTCAGAATGTGAAGGGCTGACAGATCATACCTAGTAGTACATTTGTCTAAGTTGCCATATTTTGCATGAAAAGCTTGATTATTAAAAGACTGGCTTCGAATCAATTTGGATTTCTTGATTTCTTTACCTAGAGTAACAAGCAGAAGGCAAATGCAATTGGTTAGCTCATCAGTGCATCCTCAGCTGCCCCAACCCCATTCGCTCTCCAGCTCCCACCACTGTGAGAAACACAGGGAGGGGGGTGCTTCCCTGCCTTGGTTTGACCTGACTGGAGTATTTCTTATGCTTCACTGCCCAGTAAGAAGCACCAAACAAAGGAAAAGGAAAGAAGAGCTTTTTGAACAATATCTCATCTCACAGAGTGACTGCCTTGTAATTATCACTTATAAAAGGAATAAAGCAGACACAAAAACCAGTTTCTTACTTGTGGATGGGGTGGCAGAAGAGGATCCAGGAACAGGAATGGGGAGGCTCTTGGGCAGACTTGTTGGTGTCTTGGAGTCTCTACCTAAAACAAACTCTGTTTTAAGTGTTATAATTTCTCTGATTAATCTCCATACACACACAACAACACAGGGACTACGGACCACTTTCTCTCACTAAGCAGCACTCTTTTCCAAATCTTATTCTTTATATATTTAAATATTTCATTCTTAGTTACTCAGTGATCAATTTGACAATCTTATTGCTGTTATCAAACTTCAAACTTTCCTTTGAAGGATCAGAACCTCTGCACTGATCCTCACCATTTACTTATTGGTGAGGATCTGTATCAGTTAGCATCCATTTATAAGAACAACTTTTGATAAATCAAAGAAAGTGATTTTCCATACAAAATTAAAAACAGCATAGGGAGGTTCAAGAGGGAGGGGACATATGTACACCTATGGCTGATTCATGTTGATACTTGGCAGAAACCAACAAAATTCTGTAAAGCAATTATCTTTCAATTAAAAAATAAATAAACAAGTACATATTTTAAAAGTTAAAAAAAAAACAACTCAGCATGGTCTTTCAGAATGCTGGGATGTAACATCAATTGTGTACCTTGGTGGTAAGGATGTGGGAAAACTACTTACGTTTCTTTTCAAAGGTTTTATCACTCATAGGCCTTCCATCATTTTGTTGCTTCTCTTTTTCTAATTGCTCCTATTAATAAAACAGCACCTTAGCATAAGGTAAGCATAAGTAGATTTACTTTTTAAGGTTTCTAAAATAACATTTATTTATTAAAAGTTAACATGTGCTTAATAGGCAACCAAAAAAACACAAGAAGCAAAAAACAAAGTCATTTATAATCACAAACAGTTTACCGTTTGACGTGTCCTCCCAGGTCTCATTTGTGTATTTTCATAACTAAGCATCCATTTTTATGTAATTAAGATCATACAGTTATGTATCATGTTGTTTCACACATCATGATATTTATCATTTCGAAGTCCCAAAGCTATGAATATTTTAATAACCAAGAATACACTATACCAACTCAATCTGGAAGGAAAAAAATGTAATCTTGCCTTTTGTGATGACAAAAATTTCAGAGAAGACAAAAATGGCAGCAGAACTCTAGATAAAGATACTGGCAGAGCTATGATTAAAATACTACATTCCCTTAATGTCCAATTAAAAGTGAGACATAAAGCAACAGAGTATGCAAAGTGTAATGCTTCTAGGAGGATTCATTACCTGATCTAAACTATTAAAGTATAGCAAGGAGGTATGCTTCCGTTGAATTAATTATTTAACAAGCATAAGTAGATTTAGAAAACTGTTCTAATCAGAAATTACTCTAAGCTTTAGAGATATAAAAATCCAGTTCACAAAAATACCTAACAGAAGTAATTTTTTCTCAAAATTGGTATCTAAAGAAGTCACAGTTCTTTCAGATTTTTTTTTTTAACATCTACAGAATTGTGCCCTGGGAGGGTTGTCAAGATAAAACAATGAATTTGATATTACTGTTGCAATGAGCCTTTCAGATGGTGAAGAATCTGCCTGCAATGCAGATTTCATCCCAGGTTTCATCCCTGGGTCGGGAAGACTCCCTGGAGAAGGGAACAGCAAACCACTCTAGTACTCTTGCCTAGAGAATTCCATGGACAGAGGAACCTGGGGTTTATAGTCCCAGTCCATGGGGTAGCAAAGAGTTGGACCCGACTGAGTGACTAACACTGTCACTTCACTTTCATTTACTAATTCTTATCAGCAAAATATTGGTACTATTGTCCCTTTCCATTTCTAACTGATAAGTGAAAAAACAATATCCTTCTTTTAAAAGCCTGAGAGAAAAAAAAGTTGTAGATATTTAAATTTTGATTGAAGTATAATACACATAGAGAAAGTACACAAACTAAGTATACAGCTCAGTAAATTTTCCCAAAATGAACACACCCATATAATCAGCTTCCAGACCAAGAAACAAAATATTTCCAAGCTCAAAGTCTTCTTTATCCCAACAGAATAACCAAAATAACACATATCAAGTTCTGAACAAACATGACATAACCAGCATGTACAGAACACTATAGTCAACAATGGAGAATACACATTCTTTTCAAGAACAAGTGTAAAATGAAGAAAAAGAAAAAACAGACAAAACAAAAAATTTCCACATAGACTTGGACTGCATAAAACACTATTAAATAAAAATTCTAAAACTGAAAATAAAACATGCAAAGCTGAAAAACATTGTTAAGTGAGCTTAAGAAGTAGTGCCATCTATTTTATCTTTTCCTCTGCCATTTGATCATATTAATCACAGTTACCCTGAAGTCCTTGTTGGGTAACTCTAATAGTAGGATCATCTGTGAATCTTTTTTTATTCTCTGACTTTTATCTTGGGTTTAGGTTATTAAGTCCTAAAATTTTTAGAGCCTGTTTATTCTGTTTATTCCTTATGTCTACCACTGGCAATCCTGAGTTCTAATCTTTGTTTTACAGACTGCTGAATAATACAATTTGCTTTTCAGAGGATTTCCACTTAAGTTTTTAAACTCATAGCACAATTTTTTGTAGAGAAATAGACAATATAAAAAAATAAATGGGACTATTATAACTGAAAAACACAGTACTGGAAACTTTAAAACCACTGGATGGGCTCAATAGCCAAATGGAGAAGGCAGGAAAAGAAATGGTGACACTGAAGATGGATCAACAGAGATTAATCACTCTGAGAAGCAGAGTTTAAGGGGAAAAAGAGAAAGAACAAAGCCTCATGGACCTGTGGGATGATATCAAATGATATAACACATGTATAATTATTGATCCAGAAATGTAAGAGTGAGCAACAGGGGACAGAAGATATATTTAAACAAATAACAGGTCAAACCTTCCCAAACTTGGGAAATGATACATGTTTACAGATTCAGGAAGCTCGACAAATCCAAAATAGGATAAATATGAAGCAAATCATGCCTAAAAACATCAAAATCAAACTGCTAAAAACAAGAAAATACCTTGGAAGTAGTCAGAGACAAACAACATTATACACAGAAGAACAGTAATTCAAATGAGAGCAGATATTTTATCAGATACTAGAGAGACCAGAACACAGATAGAAATAATTCTTTTAAGTACAGTATGAAAAAAGGCTTGCAAACAGAATTTGTATTCAATAAAAATATCCCTTAAAGAGGAAGGCAAAAATAAGACATTTTAGATAAAGAAAAACTAAGATAATCTGTCTAAAAATACTTGCACTTCATTCTTCAGGTTGAAGGGGAAAAAAACAAGAGGGGAAATTTGGGTCCTAAGTAGTGAATGATGGTTCTATAATGACCTACAAGACCTTCTAGAACTAACACCAAAAAAAGATGTTCTTTTCATCATAGGTGACTGGAATGCAAAAGTAGGAAGTTAAGAGATACCTGGAGTGACAAGCAAGTTTGGCCTTGGAGTACAAAATGAAACAGGGCAAAGGCTAACAGAGTTTTGCCAAGAGAACGCACTGCTCATAGCAAACACCCTCTTCCAACAACACAAGAGAAGACTCTACACATGGACATCGCCAGATGGTCAACACCGAAATCAGATTATACTCTTTGCAGCTGAAGATGCAGAAGTTCTATACAGTCAGCAAAAATAAGACCAGGAGATGACTGTGACTCAGATTATGAACTCCTTATTGCAAAATTCAGACTTTAAAGAAAGCAGGGAAAACCACTAGACCACTCAGGTATGACCTAAATCAAACCAAATCCCTTACAATTATACAGTGGAAGTGACAAATAAATTCAAGGGATTAGATCTGATGGACAGAGTGCCTGAAGAACTATGGACGGAGGCTTGTAACACTGTACAGGAGGCAGTGATCAAGACCATTCTCAAGAAAAACAAAAACAAAAAGGCAACATGGTTGTCTGAGGAGACCTTACAAATAGCTGAGAAAAGAAGAGAAGTGAAAGGCAACGGAGAAAAGGAAAGATATACTCATTTGAATGCAGAATTCCAAAGAACAGCAAGGAGAGATAAGAAAGCTTTCCTCAAGATGACATAATGGCTCAGGTAGAATGCCTGATTAAATCTAAAAACCAACTTCTAGAACAAATAAGAAAACAGTGTGTCTGCAAAATACAAGGCTAATATACAAAAATCAACAGTATTATTAAGCTCCAGCAACAAAAAACTAGAAAGCAAAATTTAAACTTACAATTCCATCCACAATGCCAAGAAACATAATATACTAGAAATAAATCTAACAAAAAGACTTCCTTGAACTCTATACTTGAGACTACCAAAACTGAGAAGAAAAGTAAAGACTAAATAAACCAATCAAGAGAAGACTCATAAGTTTAGATGGCAATTTTCCAAATTGATCTACAGATGAATGATAATTAACACAATTCTAACTAAAATTTCAGGCTTTTTAGAAATTGACAAACTGATTCTAAACTGTATATCAAAATGCAGAGGGCCTCAACTGGCCAAAGCAACTTAAAATAATAAGTCTGAGAACTGACCCTACCTGATTTTAAGAATTACTACACAGTGTTCAAGGTGGTTTAGAATGGCCAGAAAGACAAACATATAAATCAGTGGAATGAAATAGTGAGTTCCTAAGCAGAGACACACACACACACATACACACACATATATACATATGAACAACTGATAAAAAAAAAAAGGTGCTAAAGCAATTCACTGGGGAAAAGAAAGTTTTCCACAAATGGTGCTAGAATAATTGCTTATTCAGATAGAAAAAATAAACATAAAAATCAACTTGAAATGATTCATAGATCTAAATGTAAAACCTAAAACTAAAATTCCTAGAAGAAAACAGGAAAAAGTCTTTATAATTTATAATTTGGGGATAGCCTAAGGGCTTCCTCTGGTGGCTCAAAAGGTAAAAGTGTCTGCCTGCAATGCAGGAGATCTGGGTTCAATCCCTGGGTTGGGAAGATCCCCTAGAGAAGGAAATGGCAAGCCACTCCAGTACTCTTGCCTGGAAATCCCCATGGACGGAGGAGCCTGGTAGGTTACAGTCCATGAGTCCAAGAGTTGGACATGACTGAATGACTTCACTTTCACTTTCAAAGGACACTTGGGTACAAAAAAAGCATGAACTATGCTAAGAGAACACACGGATATAAGTTGCACTTGATCAATATTAAAAATTTCTGCTCTTCAAAGACACCATTAGGTAAATGAAAAAAAAAGCACAGACTCCAAGAAAATATTCATAAAATGTGTATCTGACAAAGGAATTATATTCAGAGTTTATGAAGAACTCTTACAACTTGATAATAAGAAGAGAAACAACCCACTTTAAAATCTGAAAATCGACTTCATCAACTAAGATATAAGTATGGCCAATACACAAAGGCAAAGATGCTCAGCCTCATTAGGCATCAGGGATATGCAATCTGAAATTGCAATGAGATACCATTACACCCTCATTCAAACAAGCATTACAGAGGATATGAGGTAACTGAAGTTCTCCACCACAGTCAGTGGGGGTATAAGTTACTTTGCAAAACAGTCTTTGTTTTAAAGTTAAGCATACTTTAACATATGATCCATCCATTCCACTGCTAGGTTATTTTCCCAAAGAAATCCAAGTATACATCCACTCAAAGATTTCTTCACTAATATTCCCAAGCTAGAAGTAACCTAAATGTCCATTAAGACAGGGAAACCTTTTAGAACTAACACCCAAAAAAGATGTCCTTTCCATTATAGGGGACTGGAATGCAAAAGTAGGAAGTCAAGAAACACCTGGAGTAACAGGCAATTTGGCCTTGGAGTACGGAATGAAGCAGGGCAAAGGCTAATAGAGTCTTGCCAAGAGAACGCACTGGTCATAGCAAACACCCTCTTCCAACAACACAAGAGAAGACTCTACACTTGGACATCACCAAATGGTCAACACTGAAATCAGATTGATTATATTCTTTGCAGACAAAGATGGAGAAGCTCTATACAGTCAGCAAAAACAAGACCGGGAGCTGACTATGGCTCAGATCATGAACTCCTTATTGCCAAAGTCAGACTTAAACTGAAGAAAGTAGGGAAAACCACTAGACCATTCAGGTATTACCTAAATCAAATCCCTGATGATTATACAGTGGAAGTGAGAAACAGATTTAAGGGACTAGATCTGATAGACAGAGTGCCTGATGAACTAAGGACAGAGGTTCATGACATTGTACAGGAGACAGGGATCAAGACCATCCCCATGGAAAAGAAATGCAAAAAAGCAAAATGGCTGTCTGAGGAGGCCTTACAAATAGCTGTGAAAAGAAGAGAAGAGAAAAGCAAAGGAGAAAAGAAAAGATATTCCCATTTGAATGCAGAGTTTCAAAGAATATCAAGGAGAGATAAGAAAGCCTTCCTCAATGATCAATGCAAAGAAAGAGAAGAAAACAACAGAATGGGAAAGACAAGAAAATTAGAGATACCAAGGGAACATTTCATGCCAAGATGTGCTCGATAAAGGACAGAAATGGTATGGAACTAACAGAAGCAGAAGACATTAAGAAGAGGTGGCAAGAATACACAGAAGAACTGTACGAAAAAGATCTTCACGACCCAGATAATCACGATGGTGTGATCACTCACCTAGAGCCAGACATCCTGGAATGTGAATCAAGTGGGCCTTAGGAAGCATCACTACGAACAAAGCTAGTGGAGGTGATGGAATTCCAGCTGAGCTATTTCAAATCCTGAAAGATGATGCTGTGAAAGTGCTGCACTCAATATGCCAGGAAATTTGGAAAACTCAGCAGTGGCCACAGGACTGGAAAAGGTCAGTTTTCATTCCAATCCCAAAGAAAAGCAATGTCAAAGAATGTTCAAACTACCGCACAATTGCACTCATCTCACACGCTAGTCAAGTAATGCTCAAAATTCTCCATTATGTGAACCACGAACTTCCAAATGTTCAAGCTGGTTTTGGAAAAGGCAGAGGAACCAGAGATTAAGTTGCCAACATCCACTGGATAATCAAAAAGCAAGGGAGTTCCAGAAAAACATCTATTTCTGCTTTATTGACTATGCCAAAGCCTTTGACTGTGTGGATCACAATAAACTGTGGAAAATTCTGAAAGAGATGGGCATACCAGACCACCTGACCTGCCTCTTGAGAAACCTGCATGCAGGTCAGGAAGCAACAGTTAGAACTGGACATGGAAGGACAGACTGGTTCCAAATAGGAAAAGGAGTATGTCAAGACTGTATATTGTCACCTGCTTATTTAACTTGAGGAACGCTGGGCTGGAGGAAGCACAAGCTGGAATCAAGATTGCCGGGAGGAATATCAATAACCTCAGATAGCAGGTGACACCACCCTTATGGCAGAAAGTGAAGAGGAACTAAAGAGCCTCTTGATGAAAGTGAAAGAGGAGAGTGAAAAAGTTGGCTTAAAGCTCAACATTCAGAAAACGAAGATCATGGCATCTGGTCCCATCACTTCATAGAAAATAGATGGGGAAACAGTGGAAACAGTGTCAGACTTTATTTTTTGGGGCTCCAAAATCACTGCAGATGGTGATTGCAGCCATGAAATTAAAAGACGCTTACTCCTTGGAAGGAAAGTTATGACCAACCTAGATAACATATTAAAAAGCAGAGACATTACTTTGTCAACAAAGGTTTGTCTAGTCAAGGCTATGGTTTTTCCAGTGGTCATGTATGGATGTGAGAGTTGGACTGGGAAGAAAGCTAAGAGCCGAAGAATTGATGCTTTTGAACTGTGGTGTTGGAGAAGACTCTTGAGAGTCCCTTGGACTGCAGGGGTATCCAACCAGTCCATCCTAAAGGAGATCAGTCCTGGGTGTTCATTGGAAGGACTGATGCTGAAGCTGAAACTCCAATACTTTGGTCACCTCATGAGAAGTGTTGACTCATTGGAAAAGACCCTGATGCTGGGAGGGATTGGGGGCAGGAGGAGAAGGGGATGACAGAGGATGAGATGGCTGGATGGCACCATCAACTCGATGGACATGAGTTTGGGTAAACTCTGGGAGTTGGTGATGGACAGGGAGGCCTGGCGTGTTGCGGTTCATGGGGTCGCAAAGAGTCAGACACGACTGAGTGACTGAACTGAACTGAACTGAAACACATGGTAAGCGACTTCCCAGGTGGTGCTAGTGGTAAAGAACCCGCCTGCCAATGCAAGAGATGTAAGAGACGTGGGTTTGATCCCTGGGTCAAGAAGATCTCCCGAAGGAGAGAGTGGCAATCCACTCCAGTACTCTTGCCTGGAGAATCCCACGGACAGAGGAGCCTGGTGGGCTATAGTCTATGGGGTCATAAAAGAGTCGGATACTACTGAGGCGACTTCACGTGCATACAAAAACACAGTGGTATATCCATAGTTTGGACTGCTGCTGCTGCTGCCAAGTCACTTCAGTCGTGTCCGACTCTGTGTGATCCCATAGACGGCAGCCCACCAGGCTCCCCCGTCCCTGGGATTCTCCAGGAAAGAACACTGGAGTCAGTTGCCATTTCCTTCTCCAATGTGTGAAGTGAAAAGTGAAAGTGAATTCGCTCAGTTGTGTCCAACTCTTAGCCATGCCATGGACCGCAGCCTACCAGGCTCCTCCATCCATGGGATTTTCCAGGCAAGAGTACTGGAGTGGGGTGCCATCGCCTTCTCCGATAGTTTGGGCTACTATTTATAAATAAAAAGGAGTGACCTCTTGATATACACAACAACATAGAAGAATCTCAAAATAATTATACTGATGAGAGAAGTATGACCCAAAAAGTACTAATGAATGATTCAATTCATTAGTTGTGGATCACAAAGGGGCACAACAAAATTTCTGAAGGAATAGCAATGTTTGGTGTTTTATATTCTGGTTTCATAGATATGTCCATATGTCAAAATTCACCAAATTGTACACTTTAAGCATCTGCAGTTAATCATTAAGTCAATATACTTCAATAAGGTAGTTTTTTTTAAAGGTTCTCAAATATAATTTTCCTTCCAGTTCATAAAAGAACATATTTCAAAAGATCAGGACTCTTCTTCAGTCCTTTACAGAGAAAGTAAAAATAGTATGATACTGAAATAATTTATTTAGTTTAATAACATAGCACAGTTAATACTGGTCAGAAAAGAGTAGGTGTGTATGCATGTGAAAACATACCATTTCCAAAAGAAGTAGTTCTTCTCTTTCTTTCTCTTGATCCAACAAATCTTTCTCATAAAACTTTTTCTGAAACTAAGTTTAAAGTTTAAAATGAAATTGTGAAACAGTAATGATGAGTCTCTGCCAATTTTTAAAGATTCCTTTCCACATAAGATAAAGGGAGTATACTTACAGCATCCATGGACATTTCCATTCTGTCCAACTCTAACACGGTCTGTAAAGAAAATGTTTTAAAATAATTCAACAGCAATTAAATCAACTATTCATTTCTCAAAAAGACTCCTTTTCTAGAGAGAGGTTCAAAGAAGAGATTCCTCCACTATGTGAAAGGCTAAATTAAAAAACCTCTAAAGTTCTTCCTAACTCTGTGCTTATTTTTAATCGGCCACTATATATTAATACCAGGATTTCCCTGGTGGCTCAGATGGTAAAGCGTCTGCCTACAATGCAAGAGACCTGGCTTCAATCCCTGGGTTGCAAAGATCCCCTGGAGAAGGAAATGGCAACCCACTCCAGTACTCTTGCCTGGAAAATCCCATGAATGGAGGAGCCTGGTAGGCTACAGTCCATGGGGCCGCAGAGTCGGACACGACTGAGCGATTCACTTCACTTCATACATTAATACTAGGATCAATTTGAACTCTAAAGGTTTTTAATCTTAAGAAAAGCAGGTCTGGAGGATTCTTTTAAATACTAAATACATGCAATTTAATTAATTTCTAATAACTCCCTGTGCCACTCTTTCCTGAATGTTCAGAAATATAATTTTTGAAATTAAAAAAATCTTTTAGCTAAATACATAAGAAGCTGGCTATCATTTGGTTTAATATTCTTGGTTCCTTTTCACAGAAACTTTTGATCCCTATGACATTCTAATGAATAGAAAAAATTTTGTTCTGAAAGCATTCACTTAATTTATGTCTTTCAGAATACACTGTCTGAAATAAATTATTTCAATCAAACACTGGCCCATCTAATCCAGGGTTTTATCTCTGACAGAAGACAGTACTTCTTTACAGGAATAACTCTGATGGTCAAGATACAAGTACATTTATTCATATGCCCAAAGTTATCGATTGCAAACATAGTATTTATTTGGTTTTATTTTTATGCTGAAATTTATGAAAATGTTACAACTCATGCCATGAAATATCCCTTTTAAATGAAATTACTTTTCATCTTAATAAACTAAGCTATTTCATTTTTATCACAAGGCTTTGAATAGCTTCCTGAAGGCTTCCCACACCAATACGTCAGTTTGATAAACATTACAGTACAGAATTTTTATGAGACAGAATGACTTCATGTGCAATGTTCTTAAAATAAGAACTGTACTCCTGAATAATCAATCCATTCAGTAATCTATCTTAATTATAGCATTTTGCTCCTATTTAATAGGGTCAGCTTGAGTTATCTCTTCAGTTTATAAATACTCTCAAAAAAGGAAATAACTGGAACTTCCCTGGTGGGGTAGGGGTTAAAAATCCACCTTTGGATGCAGGGGACACAAGTTCAATCTCTGGTCAGGAAACTAAGATCCCACATGCTGCTGGGCAACTAAGCCCATACTCCACAAGGGAGATCTTACATGCGGCAACTAAGACCCAATGCAGCCAAATTAACTATTTTAAAAAGTAACTGTTTCATGTTTACTATTTTGAAAGTTAACACCATCTCCTATACTTCTGTAATTAAATGGTAAAGACAGAAATATCTGGTAGAAACAAAAGTATGTATATCTATGTTTTTAGATTTAGATGCATGTCCAAATTCTGAGTATTTTTGATTATTTCAGTTAATGAAAGGAGAATTTACATTTCAGTAAAATAAAATTATACTCATTAATACTAAGTTATCAAATCACTTTTTAAAAAAGCTTCTTATGCAACATCACAAGGATCCCTAGAAAAAAGAAAAAAAAAAAATCAAAGGATTCTCTTTCTTCCCCCCTCATCATTGACATCAAGTTGTTTATGACATTAATAAATTCATTCCTCTCAACTACAGATAAAGGCTCAAAAACTATGTATCCTGAATTTCACATTCAGATTCACAGAAATAACGACTTGACTTAATCTCATAAAAACATGTTAAATGTTTGGTGAAAGAGGTTTTGAAGACTAAAGTATTTTCAAGTTTGACTTCACTAACCCAAATGTTTACTGTTTCAGTGTTAAACACTGCCAAACAATCCATATAAGATCACAGGCTTAAAAAAAACTAACAAAAAGCCATAAAACACAATGCTACATAATTGAAAAGGGGTAAGGAGTCTCTATTCCAGCCCTAGAGCTGCCACTTACTAATAAGATCCTAAGGTGATACCTAACATTTCTAGGTCCAGAGCTTCTGCAAAGTCAAACAGATCACTGAAGGCCCTTCGAACCCTTTCATGGCTAAGTTTCTAGCTAGCTGGCTATGCTGGGTCTCAGTTGTGGCATGTGGGTAGTTCCCTGACAGGGAATGAACCCAGGCCCCTGCATTGGGAGCATGGGTTCTTGGCCACTGGACCACCAGGGAAGTCTCAGGGCTAAGTTTCTATCAAATGTGACTTTACCAACAAAGGCTTACCAATTATAATCACTTATAAATAGTCTGGTGAGTGAAACATCCATGACTAGCTTTAAAGTATTTACAGAGTACCTACAATGCAAGCTCTCTCATAGAGCTTATATTACCAATAATAAAAGCTTAATGCTTCAGTGCTCTGTGCTTAGTCACTCAGTCCTATCCGACTCTTTCCAACCCCATGGACTACAGCCCACCAGGCTCCTCTGTCCATGAATCCTGGGATTCTCCAGGCAAGAATATTGGAAAGGGTTGACATGCCCTTCTCCAGGAGATCTTCCCAAGCAAAGGATCAAACCCAGGTCTCCCACATTACAGGCGGACTCTTTACCAGCTGAGTCACCAGATAAGTGCTTTCTAGAAGGAACTTCCCTCTCCAGTTAGAGCACACATCCACCAAATCCTTACTACTCTAGCAATGATTTAAATATTTTAACATACTACTGTAGCCCATCAAGTTAGCCCATCAAGTTCCCATCAAGAATAGTGAAGCTATGATTAAGACCATCTTAACCCAAGAAAGACAAATGCCATGGCAAGAGGGATACTTACTTTTTTTACAATAGCCAGAACATCTTTATCTTTTTCTTGACAGAGGAGTTTCCTCACACACATTTCCAACTGCTGAAGTAGATGCTTATCTGCAGGAATCTTCAGAGTAGATTTCACTTTGGGCAACAAGTAGCAAAGTTTCATTCTATAAAAAATTAAAAAGCATTAACCTGTGAGTGAATTTAATAACCTGGAATAATAGTCACATGAATTTGAAAGAAAATTCAAGCTTTAGCTAGCTTGAAAGTTTAAATATATATGGAGGGCCCATGATGAGTCAAGCATTCATTATTCTGGGTGCTGAGATATGGCAGTGAATAAAAACAACACAATTCTCTGCTCTCTCACAGAGCTTTCATTCTAGTCCACAGGTAGGGAGAGAGGATAAACAAATGAAAAAGTGTTAGTCACTCAGTCGTGGCTGACTCTCTGAGCCCCCACGGACTGTAGCCTGTCAGGCTCCTCTACCCATGGGATTTTCCAGACAAGAATAATGGAGTGGGTTGTCATTTCCTTCTCCGATGAATGAGTAAAATGTCCATCAAACAGTGGTTAAGTGCTGCAGAAAAAAAATAAAGCAAGGAAAGAAGGTGAAGGAGTACCAGAGGGAGGTTACAAGTTTCAAACAGGTGGTCAGAGAGGGTTTCTGTCAAGCTTTCACTTAAAACAATGACATTTAAGCAAAGACTTAGAGTAAATTGGGAACTAATCCATGTGAATATCTAGAGAAGAATGTTACAGTAAGAGCAAACGCCCTGTGAGGGGAGCTTGCCTTAGGAGTTGCCCCAAATTAACAAATTGGCCTAAGCTGGCTAGAGTGGTGAGAACAGAGCAAAAACAAATTTAGCTAGAGGCCTCAGTGTGGAAACAGGAGGTCAGATCACCCAGGGCATTGCGACTACAGATTGGAAACTGGTTTTATTTTGAAAGAAATGAGAAGCCATGGAGGGTTCTGCACAGTGGGGTAAAAAGATTCAACTTAGCATTTGGGAAGTATCATCTGGTTACTGTGTTGAGATTAGACTGTAGGTGGACAAGGACAGAAGGGATAGGATAAGGGAGGCTCTTTCAGTAATCCAGGCCAGAATCCAGTAATTCAGTAATCCAGTAAGATGATGGTGGCCCTACCATCACACTGGTTCTTGAACCAGAGAAGCAGCAGTGAGAAGTGGGAAGTGGCTTGCTTCTGAATATTTTATACAAGCAGCAGGATGTGCTGAGGGCCTGGAGGTGGAATGACAGAAAGGAGGTCAAGGCTCTGACCTGAGCAAGTGGCAAGACAAATGGTTATTTACTGAGATGGAGAAGATGGCAGAAAGAGCAAGTGTGGATGAGGAAGGTGGGGCTTAACTGGACAGATTAACTCTGAGGAGCCTGTTAGGTAGTTGGCTTGATGAGTCATCTGTCCAGGGTGGATGCCCATGCTGGAGATGTGACATCAGGAATCTCCAGAACATAGATGATACATGAACCAGGAGCCCGGAGAATTACCCAGGCAGCAAGTGCAGATTGAGAAGGAGAGATAAAAGGAGGGTTTCTATGGCACCACCATGGTCCAGATGGGCTGATAAGGAACCAATAAGCAAACTGAAGAATTCCAGAGAGGTAAGAAGAAATCCAGGAGAGTACCAAAAAAAAAAAAAAAATACCAACCTACCAACCGAACAAACAGAAAAACTTCCTAGGAAAAGGTGGTAAAGGAGATGTTCTATTTACTAAGCTAAAATTCTATTTGCCAGGGCTATTGTCTATTTGTGGCTGCTGTATTCATTCATTAATTTGTCTCAGCACTCTCCAGATACTGGTTTTTTTATTTCTATGCCAAAGCTTGAGACAACTAAATCCCACTCCTGGAGTTCTCAGGACCCTTTCTCAGCTGAGCTTCAGTCGAGGACTCCTCATATACAAGAAAGTTTGCTTTTTATTTAACCAAAAAGGCAAAAGACGTTTCTTCTCCAGAATTTTCATCTCTGTACATAGCAATAATAGTCTCAAACTTATTCAGGACTCGCCATGGATACTGCTAAGCATGGTGGTGATGCCTTCTCCAGTTCAGAGGTCCCAATTACCCCAAAGAGAATTGTTTTCATTTCTGGCAGCTGAAGAGAAGGCTCCTCTGAATACCAATAGTCTTTTTCTAGCCTTGATATTGTCCAGACTCAGTGAATTTAAATTTTAAACATTCACTTAAGGAAAAACAGAAACAATCAGCAGTCCATGCACACTTCATTCTTTATAACCCAAGGCACATCTAGAAAACCTACATTCAACAGAAGCTACCCAAGCCTTAGCAATTATTTATCACGACGAGAATCCTGGGCCCAGGAGATTATGAAGATTTCAAAATTAAGGACCACACTTTTCAGGTAAGCTAAATTCTGCATATACACTATCTCAGGTATTTATTCCTCAGAACACCCCCACAAATTAAGTACCAAGGAAACTGATGCACAGAGAGGTTCTGTAAGTTGCCCGGACACGCAGCTGGTGTAGAGGTCAAGGAGTGTGGCTCCGGCCACTCTCCTTCTAACCTGCACGATCCTGCCACTCGCGCCTGTGGCGGCTTCCATTCTATCCGCCCATCTCTACAGAGTTGGGTGAAGGCTTTTGCATCCAAGAGTACGTGGTGTTACTGGACTCATTTTCTTGGCTGGCAGCTGCCCAGGCAGGAGAGTCAGAACCAAGACACATGGCTATACGATGATCTCTTACTCAACAAAACCACCAAGACTCACAGAGCAATATTCATCTTCATTTGGTTTTTGAGTTGATAGGTTGCTTTCTCTTAGAGTCAATGCTATGCTGCTAGTCACACTGACTTGAGTAGAGATGATTTCATTCCCTTTCAAATAATTTTTGAAATTCCCTTTCAAAAAATTTTGTCTGATAAGGGATAATTCATCACATTGGAAGCTGTTTTTCTAGAATCACATCTTCAATTTGCAAAAGGTTTACAATGTGGTTGGATCCATTAGCTATTTACCAAGAGATAAATTCTAAAGCTGAGCGTCGAAAAATTGATGCTTTTGAACTGTGGTGCTGGAGAAGATTCTTGAGAGTCCCTTGGACTGCAAGGAGATCCAACCAGTCCACCCTGAAGGAGATCAGTCCTGGGTATTCATTGGAAGGACTAATGCTGAAGCTGAAACTCTAATACTTTGGCCACCTCATGCGAAGAGTTGACTCATTGGAAAACACCCTGATGCTTGGAGGGATTGGGGGCAGGAGGAGAAGGGGACGACAGAGGATGAGAAGGCTGGATGGCATCACCAACTTGATGGGCATGGGTTTGAGTAAACTCCGGGAGTTTGTGATGGACAGGGAGGCCTGGTGTGCTGCAATTCATGGGGTTGCAAAGAGTTGGACACAACTGAGTGACTGAACTGAAATTCTAAAGAACTGTCGCCAGGGTCTTTCAATCTACTTAAAATCACTTTAATTTAAATCTCAAGTCAAGAAAACCTTAGCTCTCATTTATACAGCACAGGGAAGATGCACAAAATAATAAAGCCAATATTGTATGTTTTCTGTATTTTCTCTACAAAACAAAACCAATAACTAGATTTGTTCCTCCTAAATAATGCTCATAACATTCTCAGGCTGAACTCTTCAACATCTTTTGACAAATCTTCTTGGTATATTTCTTTCTCAACATCCATGCTATTAGTCTATGCTTACTGCCTGGCCAATTCTTCCTGTTAAAAAATATTAAATGATTACTTGTTGCCTACAATGCACATCAGTTGTTTATAAAAGATGCACATATGTCACACAGCATGAAACGAGCATGAAGCGTGGCTGGCATGTGAATACTCAGCAGGGAGCTCTGTAGTCCTGTTCAGGAAGTCTTGACTCTGACTGTGTCTCCTACGAATGTGAGTTCCTCAAACACAGAACACCGACATAGAGCACAAACACAGAAACCTTCAAGGCTGACAGTTTAAAAATCTCTTTAAATCAGTATGCAATGTACAAATAACTCAAACACTGAGTGAGTGTGTTTAATGCCACTGAATTGTACAAAATGGTTAAAATGGTAAATTTTATGCTATGTATGTTTTACCACTACTTAAAAAAAAATTAATATGCTTATTTGGGGAGAAAAAAAAGCAAAATACAATTTATTCATTTTTTTCAATTTCCAAGCAAGCCATTTTCAGGCCTGTTTCATTTAACTTCACAGTTAATTAATCAAATCCACTTACCATTTACTGGATTTCAAAACTGTGAGAGAGCTGAACGAAGGAAAAAGAAAAGAAAAAGACTTGGAAACAGCCCTGCTTCGCTGAATAAATGGGCTTATGAAAATGGACAGATCTTCTCCAAGCCAACTTTGAACCAGTTTTTTTCCTCTAGGCTTAAAAGATAGATAAGTTAATCATATCTACTCAATCTTCTCCTGATGTCAATGTGTGTATTCATGTGGCTAGAGAAGCCTGCCAGTCTGGCTGTGACTGCAGCTGTCAACCCTATAAACTAAAGGCCTGAGACAGTGTTAAAAGATCACACTTTCAAGTCCTACTGAGGCTCAATTAAGACTACCAAGAATCTCAAAACGAGTACAAGTTCTTGATTATTTTTAAGACCAAGAAAACACTTTTGAATATTCATTACAGTAAATACATTAAAAAGACACAATTTCTTCAAATATATTCTTGGATTAGTACCATACCTTACATTTGCTACTGGATCATGTGTCAGTTCAATAGCAGGTAGAAAGAAATATTTACAGAAAAATGATTTGGAAAAGATCTCTATAATAAATTCACAGGTATCCAAAAATCGGAGTCTGTTCCAATAACTTTTTCCTTGGCCCAGTTCTAGAAACAACAACAAAAAGTTTTGTGTTTTAATTTTTCCTACATAAAATTTCCTGTGGAAAAAAATGACAAAGCCCATGACAGTTTTTTTTATACCCACAATTTGCTTAGCAAAAACACGAGATAAAGGAAAAGAATCATATTATACACCCCTGAATTAATGAAAGCATAAAAAACAGAAACAAGTTTATTAAATATTACATTCAATTCCATAAATGAAAGTCAAGTTGCTCAGTCATGTCCGACTCTGCGACCCCATGGGCTGTAACCTACCAGGCTCCTCCATCCATGGGATTTTCCAGGCAAGAGTACTGGAGTGGGTTGCCATTTCCTTCTCCAGAGGATCTCCCCGACCCAGGAATTGAACCTGGGTCTCTCGCATTGTAGGCAGACACTTTACTGTCTGAGTCATAAGCATTTATTAAATATTAAAGGAACATATCTACTATTTTTTGATTACCCTCTATGTGCCAAGTACTGATACATATTATCGCATTAAATCCTGAAAGCCCAACAGGATAGGCATATATTTATTCCTCCTAAACAATAAGGGTACCGAGAGTCATAGAGGTTAAAGGAACAGAGCTAGGATTCAAATGCAGGTCTGTATAACTTCAAAATCTTTTGACCAATGAAGTTAACTGTTTTCTTCCTCTTGTTTTCTTAAAATGCTTTGAAAGAAAACCATACATAAACGAAATTATCACTGAAAATAATTCAGGTCAATATTTAAAGGATAATTCTTTTCTCCCTCATTACACACATGTTCAAAAGCAAAATTCTTAATGTTTAAAAACAAATATAATCTCCATTCAAAATAAAACATTCTAAAGGTCAGGTCCTACCACTAAAAACTGAAAATTGAATTAAAATACAGTAAAAAAAAAGAAAGGAAGAAAGAAAGAAACATTAAAGTATATTGAGCAAAATTTTTCTTAAACAGAATTTTATCTGCTCTAATTTTTTTTTTAAAGTGGTGATTCATACTTAAAATGGTAAACTATAATAACCAGAAAATCCCATTACCTGACTATGCTGGAAAATAGTTTAATAAAAGCATTAAGGCACTATGGTCAAAGTAAGTACACAATAACTAACAAATTCACTAAGTATATATAGGTGTCTATCACTACTTCAAGAATTAATTCTTTAACAAAAGGTTTTGTCTTGATTTTAGCCCACAGCAAATTAAAATAAATTTGCATTTGTTAACTGACAATTTTTTAAGACATTATAAACCTCCTCGGCTCATTAGATTCACATTTGAGTGTACTATCAAGTCTATTCAAGAGAACAAAACCCACATACTGTAATATTTAATATAGGAACACAAAACAAATTAGTAGATTCATGGATAGCCTACTTGTATTTTATTTTCAAATTGTATTCATAGGAATAGAAACTGAGCTTTCAATGATAAGTATATGTATTTTAACTTCTCAAGTGTAAAAATTCATTAAAGGTAGCCTGGAGTAGATGAATTTTTCATTCATCAAAGATCTGATCCTATAAAAAATTTCTAAAACAAACAAAAAGAAATTAGCCTATAAACCTCAAATAGAAATATTTAGCAATACTGGCCTAATTATTCATAGCAATATGATAATATAAGCCGGATCTAACTAAGGCCAACCAGTTTACTTACTTTCTGTTCTCCGAATGAGAGAGAGTGATTACTTACGTTCGATTAATTTTTGAATGACCTCATGTCTCTGTTCCTGTTTACGATTATAACGTAGAAAAATGCATAGAGTTCGTGAAGCCGCCTTTTGGACAGGTAAGACATTCTTAAAGAAATAAGAAAGACAATTAAACAAGTCTAATGGTATACACTCTAAATAATTTGACCCCACACATCAATTTTAAGTTATCGACTAAAAGTAAAAGCAGTGCTGTCTGCCTCTGAAATTAGTGTGGAAGTGTCTTCATAATTTAATGTTATCAGTCAGGCAAATCACACTGCAAAGTTCAAGTAATTTGGCAGAGTCACTTCCAAATCATCCAGATATGATTTATATTTGACTCACATCTCCTTGCCACCTCATCTTAAGTGATATTCTCCCCGAATACACCTCAGCCATTTCTAGACCATGTTACTCATTTATTCAACAAACATTTGCTAGTACACACTCTGTGTCAGGTACCTCGCCAAAAATGTGCCACTTCTCAAATCCAGAGATCCTATGACCAGGTATACATCAGATTCCTCTCACTTTGATCTGCCTCCTCCACCTCAATACTATTCTTTAAGACCCCTGGTCCATGACAAAGATAAAGTTTAGAATCCAAGGGACACATGCCAATTATTCTTACTAGTGTTTTAAACTCTTTGATCCTTTGGATTTGTGTCACATCAACTGGGCAGAGAACCTTAATTCTAAGTAAATTCAACCATCCATCTTTACTATGGCTTCAAACTATGCATTAGAGAAAAGTCTCTCAACCAGGTATACTGTATCCAGTATAAATTCACATTCACTATCTTGACTTACATATATTTATATATTATAACATTCAGTTCTTGAAGATTCAGACTATCATGATAGGGATGCTTGAAATTCAAGTAGAAAAAATATACATTGCTCAGAGAATATTGCCTATTACCTCCTCTCATATTTTATACAAGCTATTTACATTCTACCTAGTACCATTTCGTGCAGTGTTTTTAACCTGTTGGAGGTAAAAAGGAATATTCACCATAAATTAGAACAGAAAATTTAAGAAACGTACAAAACAGAAACATCAGTGGAATTAAGGAAAATGAATGTTAGATAAATGAACTTAAATAAAAGGATGTTACTCTTTTCTTTCGTTTTGTATATACTAATAGAATTCCAAATGCATAAACACTAATTATTTGAAACAGAAATAATATAAAATATGTATATTTTATACCTCACAGTATAAGGTAATATCTTTGGGGCAAGAAATCGAAAACAAAGGTAATTATATCAAAACAAACAAAAGTCAGTTTAAAGAAACTGTGACCACTTGAGCATGTGAATAATGACTGAAATTGACTAAAACATTGTTCAATATAAAAGATGAGTCTAAATGAAAGGATAAAAACAAAACCAAATTCATTCATTATCAGTGGGTTAACTATGAAAATTGATAGAAAATTGAAGAAATAAGCATTTATCCTCTCTTTACATTAGGAAATATATTTTAGGGAAAATTAAAAAAGCATTTATCCTGAGAAGAATGCCATCAACAATGTAGAAGAAAAGAGAATTTTAAAAGCCACTCTTTTGTAAGTTCTAATGAAATAACTATCAGGCAAGGATCATCAGTGGATGCTAAAACTGAAGGGTAAAAGGTTACTGGGAAACTGGGTATTAAGTGTTGAAGTGTCAGCTTCAGATTATGACACAGATCACAAGGGAGAAAATACAATTTTGCAGTGAACTAACAGAGACGTCCCTGCCTGCACAAGCACTCCAAGATCATTTACAAAGGGATAGACATCCAGACGCGACACAACGTAAAACACACAGCAGCGCTGATGAAGGATTCTTGCCAAGAACATTTGATCTAAGCCTTGGCAAGCCCTTATCAAACCTCCAGCTTAAAACAAATATGGAGAAGAGATAAACAAGTAAATCCATGAAGACTTCTACAGGACAACTGACTAAGTCTCTTCCACAATTCAATGTCATGAAAAAGTGGGGGAAGGGCAAAGAGGGAATCTGCTCTGGATTAAAAGCAAATTAAGAAATGTAACCACCTGAGGCTATGTATAGATCTTACTTGGATCCTATATGGAATAAAACAACTATCACACCCATTTGGGGGATAATTGGTAAACTTTGATATGAATTTTAAATGATATTAAAGATATTTGTTCATTTTGTCAAATGTAATAATGGTAACATGATTACATAGGACAATGTCCTTTTCTAGAGATGAATACTGAAATGCTTAGAGAGAAAATATGACATCTATAATTTAAACTTTTTAGCACAATGAAATGGAAAAGGCAAATATGGCAAAATGTTAACAACTGTTAAATCAGGGTGATGGGTATGTGAGAGTTCATTGTAGTATTTTCTTTGCCTTCATGCATCTTTAAATTTTTTCCATCACAGAAGTAGGAAAAAAAGTTAGTTGATGTCATTCCTTTACTCCAAAACCTTCCAAAGCCTTTCCCTGCATAACAGAATATAATTTCTGTTCTACATCATGGCTTTCGAGCGCCTGTGTTCTGTGGGCCCAAAGACGTCTCCAGGCTCATCTCTAAACCGCCACACTGGCTTCCTTGATGACTCTCATAAAACCACGCACACCCTGAATCACATCTTTGCATTTACTCTTCCCTGTCGGGATCAGCTGTGCTTCAGACCTCCACATGGCCACTACCTTTCTTGGTCCATGCCTCCTGATCAGAGAGGGCTTTTTCCTGACCACTACATCCACAATACCCTCCATCACTTTCTTCCCCTCTACCCTGCGTTTTAGTTATTCCTTGTACTTTTCATCCCTGGTGTCCAACACACTGGGTTGGCCAAAATGTTCATTCGGGCTTTTTTGTAACATCTTAAACAGAAACCTGAATTAAATTTTTGCCAACCCAATATGTGTGTGTTGTCTGTCTCCAATAGAACTTAAAGTTCTGTGAGAACAGATCCTTTATCTTTTCATTCACTAACAGTACACAGCACATTGTAAGTGCTCAATAAGTTTTATTAAGTGAATGAATGAATATTATGATCATTAGATATGGAACTAAAAATATAAACCTTCTTTTCCAGAAGACACTGAAATGAAATATAAATGTCTTTATTTGATCATGGAAAACGTGCTATGGTAAATCAGATATCTCTTTTAAGTGTAGTGCGTCCTTGAAAAAGAAAACAAAGCAAACTCCTCAGACTTGAAAGTATTTTGTTCACACTATGGTGTAAATTATTTCTCTTTCCTGATATGAGAGGCTAAAAATACGAAATAATTTTGTATACTTATTAGCTTTATAAACACAAAGATGACTACTTAGTAATTAGGTTGAGACAAACAGTTAAGATCAAGCTTCATAGGACTTATCACCTCCTGTTAATACATTTTATTTTACTATTTATCACTTCCCATACCATCACCTCTTTAGAACTCAAGATCCATTAGAGCAGGAATCTGTCTTGTTCACACCCAGATCCCCAGCTTTCAAAACAGTGCGTAAAACACAGCAAACAGAAGCTGACTGCTGAATAGAGTCATCAATAAATTCTGCTTGACTTTATGTGAGATTTTCTATGTGGTGCATTCATGCATTATCCTCTAATAAGAAGTTATTTTTGCCAGTATCACTTTTTAAGATGACCACACCTATAAAACCACCTTCAACCGCTAGGTGATACATGAAACAAACTACAAGCAGAGGTGTTAGCATAAGATACACACCTATCGTTTTTTGGTTGTTATAAAATGACACCAGTAATGAGAATTCAAAGTACTCTTTAAAAAATAGTTTCTAACACATACACATTATGTGGAACTTTTGTATACTTGAAAAGAATGGTAGTAGGATGTCATAGTCAACATATAATCAAACTTAAATGATCCTCTGGGAATTTTAAGGAAAAAAGGCAGACAATTTACTCTATGTGGAAATTTGAGTACAAGCCTTTCTTTCCCTCTGCTTTTGACTCTAATTTTGAGGTTATCCATAGCAGGGCATCCATGTTTTTTCTATAAACTGTATCTGTTACAAGGTAAAAGAAAGAGAAAGCAAACTAATATTCAGGGGTTTAAGGAATACTCTTAGGTAAGGTGAAAGAGCACAGCTGAGGCCATGACACATGGAAGGTGCACGTCAGAGCAGAAGTCACTGTGCAGTTGAGACTCCTGCCAGTCTCTCCCTGGAGCACTGTATCAAGCTTGAAGCCAGTGTGTTGACACCCTCCCCTGTGCAGCCCTCTCTTCAGCTGGGTTCAAAAGGAGAACCCAGTAAGGAAGCAAAGGTAACAACACCCCTCCAGGCAGAAGGGTGTGAACAGAGCTTGCTGTTCGATTTCAAGAATGTGGAGAATTTGGTTAATTCCAAAATGTGTGCCAGTTCAAGAAAAAATCAGATTACAGGCATTGGGCTCACATTTGTCATCATGATTGTGAACATTCTTTGTAAGAAACGATAATAGATCTGATCACTTGATATGACTTGCGGCAGACAGGCATATTTCTGGAGCAGCTTCTCATGAGTTCTCCACTTTAAAGAGGCTGCTGCTCGCTGCTCAGCAGCTGTGAGAGCTGGAACCAAGTCAGGCAGAGATGATAACTGAAGAAGAAAACACATCAAGAGAATCAGAGATAATTAAATACATCAGCTGCAGCATTCAGCCAAATTATTCAGTCTCACAATACACTGGGGAAGGGAATACTCTTAATCATTTCCGAACTTAGGAGGCATTGCAGTTGTCACAGGGAGGTAATTATTCAGTAAAATCAAATATTTTTTTTAAATCTATAAGTAAAATTTATGATTCCTGGCAACAAAATTTGGAAAGAGACAGATTCATAGCTCTTCCAGTTAAAGTAAAATGCATTCTATTTCACCATCAGCAAACTTTGATATGCTAAATCCTACCCTTTGTCCTCACTAGTTGTTATTCTTGCAATAATAATTAATGCTAATAAAAACTGAAAATATGAAAGTAAACCCCAAGGACTGTAAATAAAGATTGTGGTAAGAAAGGTAGAGGAAATTCAAGCTGTCATAACTCCAAAAGACTTTTACTGAGCGCTTCTAGGTAGCCAGCACTAGGTTAAGTGTTTTTCATACATTCTTTCATTGATTCCTCTCAACATCTCTGCAGAGTAAGGTCACCCATACAAGATCCAGAAGCTCTTTTGATCCATGGGATTCACCTTATTTTCTTGAACACTGCTCTCCCCACCAGTAGACATCAGTTCCAGAATCTCTGGAAGATGATCTATGAGAGCATCTAGTACCTGTTAACAGAGATACTGATTACCCTTCTTGTGATGGCTGTGTTTTTCTAATCTTAGACTAATTAACAAGCCAACTTCCACACAGAAATAGTGGGAAGTTACCAAAGAGCATCTGGGGGATTTCTAGTCTCCTGCTCTGTCATCTTTTTGCTACAAAGTCTTAGAAACATAATCAACTACCTTGGTCAAACTACCTTTGAAAAGAGGTTAGTATGTCTGCCTCTTGATACTATTCAAACAGTCTAGATGCAAGGCAGCCTAACAACATCCTTAAAACTGCCTCCCAACTTTTGAAAAACAGTTTAAGTCGGATGACACCCTCAGAGGTGTCTCACGTTGAGTAGCTGAGCTTTGGTAAGCCAGCAGCTGTTTGCGTGAATAGGATACACTAGATAAAGTATCAAAATTAAGTGTTTCAGAGGCTCCACAATGCTAAGGGAAATAAAAAGATATAAAATGTGATTGATATAGCATATGATCACAATTGTATAAAACTTAAAAAACCTTTATACAGAAAACATAGAAAATGAAAACATACAAGAAAATATTAAATAGAAATAGTGATTAGAACTAAAAGTACTCTTTTGTCTGTCTACTTTTTGACATTTCCAAAGTTTTCCGTAACATAACAAATAAACATACATATATATATTTTAAAACTTAATATTTTGTTATAAAAGACCTTCCCAATCTCTAGTCTATGACACAGTCTCTCATCAATTACAAGCTTCCAGGACTAGTCAGCTATTAGAATTCATGAATTCCCAAGAAGCAGGAAAATAAAAAGGGCATTGATACACTCAAACCTGATATAAAAGTAAAAAACAAACAGTAAGAAGATATTACCTCCAATGATTCATCTTGCAACAATGTTATTAGTTCTTTATGTATTAAATATACTCCAGAATTCAGAAGTTTAGACACCTAAAATGTAGCAATAAAGTCTCTCAGATTTGAGATTACTAGACATATAAAGGTTATAACAATTTTTAAAAAAATAATCCCTGTCAGATTTACTTCCAAAATGAGACCTGGTTACAACATAAATATAAAATTAGATTTCTAGAAAAAATTAATTGCACACCTAATAAGCTTTTCAGTCTGCATCTTAACATGCTGGAGTGTATGAACACATGAGGGTACGTAAGTGCACAGTTAGGGGTGGGAGGTGTAGAAGAATGGATTTATCAATCGTAAGTCTCCTATCACAAGCAGTAATGAGCCCATGGATGCCTGTAGTTCATGTTCTAGTCTTAGAGCAGCCGACAGGGTGTTTCAAGAGAGTGAAGCCAGGGGAGCACTCATCCTGGTTTAGAGCTCCCAGAGGGCACAAGTTCTGCTGAAGGCCAGCAGTCACACAAGGGACAGAGCAAATTCCTAAGCCAGCAAATCTTCAAAGACTTTTCCAATCAAAGACTTCAATCAGCAAGAGAAGAGTTGGGAGTTGTTGTTCAGTCTCTAAGTTGTGTCCAAGTCTTTGCGACCCCATGGACTGCAGCAGGTCAGGTTCCTCTGTCCTTCACTGTCTCCCAGAGTTTGCACAAACTCATGTCCACTGAGTCGGTGATGTCATCCAACCATCTCATCCTTTGTTGCCCCCTTCTCCTGCCCCCAATCTTTCCCTGATGCTGGGAAAACATAATCTTAAGTCTAAACTAATCCAGCTCCTTTATGAACCACTTTTTCCCCCCTCCAAACAAGCAATGGTAAAAATCTACAATGGTAGATTCACCAGATTCTACCTTTAAGTATTTTTTTAACATACTAGGTTTGAGTAAGTTTTAGTTGAAAAGGGAGCTCCTGATAAAGAAGGTATTTCAACAATCTTTGCTCTACAAGGTTGTTTTTGATTTCAAAGTATTTTGAAAATACTATCTTTCTCAAAAACAAGAATAAACTTGGACCATACTAGAGTAATAATCAGAATCCAGTAATAACATTGTCAGGAAAATTTAAATCCACCAGTGGATTTTCATTATTTAAAAGGACAAACCTACACTAAACATTCATTTATGGAGTCAAGTATCATCTTAACCCACCATCATGGTATGACTGGGTGAATACAGAAACTAGTCCCCCAGGAAATAGCAAAACCAATGATTTCCAAACTCACTTCTATCAGTGAAATATTCTTGTATATATATTTCAATACGCCTATTTCTATGGTGCGAACACATTATGTCCACTATAAAACTTAAATAAAAATAAAATAGTAAAGGCATAAGATAAAAATAAACTTAAGTAGAAACTCTCACATTGCATAAACACTGCTTTCTCAGACTCTAATCTCATGCAACCATCTCATGAACTGATCTAGACAAATACAAGTATGCAGGGCAGCAACCAAGCATAAATGCCTTAATACACATAGGAGATAAGTAGTTCATTCAGCCAGCTAGAGCCCTCTGATATTTCTCCTCCTCCAAGCATATTCCTATATGTGTATTTACAAAGACGACTTAACTGTTCAACAATGAATTATTTTAATTAATTATATCATTTAAAGGGAATCTTTCTTGGACTTTGCACACAGAACATTCATTTAATTCACACCAGAAAAAAACAAGCAATGAATATCATTCAACAGTCAAGAGTCTAAAGCAACATTTCTAATGCTGCTATGGATATCCTACATAGTTTTAGCTAACCTAACAATGCTTTGAACACAGTTCAAGGAAGGAGATACAATATTCTCACTGAGAATAAGAATATTACTATAAAGGCAATAAATATTTTATTCAGCCACTCAGATTTTTTTAATTTCTTTTTTAAAATTTTATCTTTTGGCTGCACCTCAAGGCATATGAGATCTTAGTTCCCCAACTGGGAAACGAACCCATGCCCCCTGCATCAGCAGCATGCAGTCTTACCCACTGGATCACTAAGGAAGTCCCAAGCCACTCAGATGTTTTTATGTGACATTCTTGAAGTCGACAAATGATAGCTTATACATGCTTATGGCAATGATGGCACGCATGTACTTCCTACAGTCACTCAAGAAACATGCCCTAAATTTCAGCCTCAAGGGTTAATTACATTTACCATAAAATTTAAATTCACTTTTGTGGGACTTCCCTGGTGATCCAGTGGTTAAGACTCTACTTCCACTTCAGGGGGCATGAGTTCATTCCCTGGTTGGGGAACTAAGATTCCCACATGTCCCTCGTCAAGATAAAAAAAATTCACTTTTGCTCTGACACTATGAAGAGTTGTCATAACAGCTGAATATATAAGCTGTGCTCGCAAAATATGAACCATGTATGGTAAAAGCCACAAATTTAAATAAATACTCTCTCAATTTGCCATTTGTTCTCAAGTTCTTGAGTTTAGGTGCAATGCTAAATATAAACATTATAAAGCATTATAAAACTGATTTTACTTCCAGATCTACAGCCATATTCATACCACAATGTCTGGCTTAAAGTAAGAGATAGTATAATTTAAGACAAGATATACTGAATGAATGGATTAATACATGATAAATGAATGTAACATCTATATGTAAATGAATTATGTAAACTCTCTAAACAGAATTATAAGAATTTTTCCAAATTTAGGATTAGAATATGAAAGAGATATGGAGCCAATATCTTTTAATAAATCTGAAAACAAAAGTGTACAACACATCAGAAAATCACCTAGTACATGTAAGTAAAAAACAACAAATATAAAGTGGTTATCACTTTTTCAGACTTACTTCATAAAAGCAAATAGCAATAGTGTATCTGACTGGTACTTCGGGGTCATGACAAAGGCAGAAGAATGTAGAATAGAGTTCCATGTGGAAGTTTTTGGGATCAACAAAAACAATCATGGCCTGGTGGAGGTGGAAGAAGATGAGTTTCGAAGAGAAAAACATGCATCAATAACAATATCATAATCATTTCACTTAAATTGAAATCATGTTCTCTGAATCATAATTTAGTTAGAAATCATATTTGGAAGATCCAAATACACGCATATAATTCTAACATATATACATAGAGACAAATATAAATTACACCAATATATACCAGACATAATGCTAACTAATAAGTGTCAAATATGGCAATAGTTTTCAGTGTCATCTATTCACATATTTTAAGTTATAATTAAAATGTGTAGCCACTACAAATGTATAATGTATTACCGGAAAGTTATAAGCACAGTTCTTCCGTACTGAAATATATTTCTTCTCCTGCTCTAAGATTTGGGGTGGTATCTGGTTTTCATTGTGTCCATTTTCCTGTTGCAAACCCAATGTACAAAGTTTCTTATAAAACTCCAAAAACCTCAAGTGTTGATCTGGAGTAAAAATTCCTAAAACACATGTAAAACCTTTGATCAACATTTTAATTGAAAACAAAAATTAAAGAGAGAAAAGCAAAGTGCAGTAATTAGAATCACATATTTAAACAAATGGTTGGAAATCATGAGTAAAAGTAATAATGAGAAAAGAGTAACTACTGTGAAGAAATCTAATGGGTCTTTACCTTATGTTAATTTTAATAATATTTTTATTTTAATTTTGATAGTGTAAACTACAAGGTGCAGGAATTATACCTGCATTAATTTCTGCAGCATGTACCACAGTACATACCACTAACAAATAATTACAATAATAATATAGCAGCCATTATTGCTATTTATTTCTGGTAAATATTTTAAAGTTGCCTACAGAGAAGACATGCACATATGTCTGCAGAGAAGGAACTTAAAAATGGGATCTGAGGGAATTCTCTGGTGGTCAAGTGGTTAAGACTTGTCACTTTGACTGCCAGGGACCTGAGTTTGATCCTTGGTTGGGGAACTAAGATCCCAGGAGCTGTGGGGGATAGCAAAAAAAAAAAAAAGCCCCAAATATGAAAGACAGCAAAATAAACCCAAAATACTTTTGATCAATGATTGGTTCCATATTCAAATACAGTCTTAAAGAGCTAGTAACTCAACAAATATTGCAATACTTTTTTCAACAGTCTATTGAAAGCCTATAATCCACATAAAAATATTTTTTGCTATGCTAGATTGTTACAATTAATGCTTACATTATTTTAATAAGAGAGAACTGAGTAATACATTTAAAATGCCAAGAGTTACAGGCATTATTCTACACTCTAATTTGAACTGCTCATGTGATATATTAATCATTCAAAAAAAATTAATAAGGGTATACTTATTATGTACCAATAGTTAATATACCTAAACTTCTATGATCAAATGCCAACTAATATACAAGATAAGATATTCAGGAATTTAAAGGGCTGTGCCTATTTCACTGCCATTGTTCTCTCACATAGGTTCTATCAGTGAAAAGTCATTAAGATGCTACACACTTAGGGTGTGTAATGTCACACACTACTTAGGGTAGGCTTTGTGACTGAAGGGCTGCAGTTTAGGGGCTAAGGTAAAAGAAAAAGGAAAAATTCTCTGCAATCTTGACATTCTTAGCACATATCATACCATATAATCCATGGCATAGTTTTCCTAAATGGAAAGATAAAGAAATAAGAATTGATTCATCTGCTTTGAAAGATTTTTCACAAAATGATTTCACTACGGGAAGTATAGTTTGACTTCTGTCATCTGAAAGACAAGAATAAAACACAGTTTAGATCCAGTTGCCCACACTGCAAAGGTGCAAATGACTGTATACACACAAATTTCAGAAAGAAAAATTACTATGTTAGTCTCATAGTAACAGAAAATATCTGACAACAATGACGATGGAGGTATGATATAAAGAGGAAGTGAGAAGTGAGTGGAAATCATCAAGAACTTTAGACAGGCTAAAGGGTTTGTGGGCTCCCCTTGTGGTTCAGGGTAAAGAACCTGCCTGTCAATGCAGGAGTTGCGGGTTTGATCCCCGGGTCGGAAAGATCCCCTAGAGAAGGTAATGGCAACCCACTCCAGTGTTCTTGCCTAGTGTTAGCATTCTTATAGTCATGTAGATTCATACCATGCTGCATTTTATCATTTTATTTTTGATATATTTTAAAAGTTAGTTCATATTACATTCTGTATAATGAATGTCTTCACTTTTACTTCTTATGTGACTCTTTTTAAAAAACTGATTTGATTCTTTGAGTGTTTGCTTACTCATAAGTTTCTGATATTAATTAACAATATTTCAGTTTTGATTTCAAATACTCCCTGAATTTCCCACAGTTCTCTTAAACTTTCAGAAAAGAATCACTACTTTATTAGGGTCAAACCAGTCAATCCTAAAGGAAATCAACCCTGAATATTCATTGGAAGGACTAATGCTGAAGCTCCAATACTTTGGCCACCTTATGTGAACAGCTGACTCAATGGAAAAGACCCTGATGCTGGGAAAGATCAAAAGTAAGAGGAGAAGGTGCCAGCAGAAGATGAGATGGTTAGATAGCATCACTGACTCAAAGAACATGAATTTGAACAAACTTCGGAAGATAGTGAAGGACAGAGGAGACTGGTATGCTGCAGTCCATGGCATGGCAAAGAGTCAGACATGACTTAGCGACTGAACAACAACAAAATTAAGGGTCTGACAACACTAAGCAAAATTTTATAACAGGATTATCGGTGTTATTACTACTGCTATTATTATCATCACATTTCAGTATCATATCTATTGTTTTTACTAAATAACACTCATCCAACATATACTGAATTTCTTAGAGAACAAACATTAACAGAAATAGAAAAGTGAATGATAAAGGGTTTCTGAACTTCAGACCAGCAAAGAAATCAAGCCCCCAAAATATCATAAGACAATGTGATCATTGTTTAAATAGTTAGTATAAGGCAGAAGTCTGCAACTATTTTTGCAAATATTCTAGGTTTTGTAGTTTATCTGTCACAAGTACTCAACTCAGTCACTTTGGCACAAAATAGCTAGAGACAATATATAAACAAATGAGCATGGCTGCATTCCAGTAAGCTCTATTTACAAAACGGGTGGCAATGGGATTTGACCCACAGGCCATAGTTTGCCAACCCCTGGTATAAAGGGATTTAGAAGTTGTCAGCAAGGACACTGAATCTGAACTGGGCACTAAAGGAGAAGCAACTGGCTAGGAAAAAATAAAGGGAAGAGTGAAAAAAGAGAACATGGAAAGCCTAGAGGTGGAAAGAATCTGGTATGCCAAGAAAACAGCAAGTGGGGTTGGAGCACCAGAGCCAAGGGAAGCAGGAAAGAATGGCAGGAAATACAGCCAGGAACACACATAAAGACAGATCCGTGACAGCCGAGTGTGCAGCAGGAAAAGTCCCAGATCAGAGATGATCTCTGGCTCTAGCTTGGATGCCTAGGGGCCCCCCATTAATAGGACATGGACAGTCACACATTCACTTCTCAGGTACTGCTGTTTTGAGTCCTCTCGTGCACCACATGGCCTAAATTATTATTCTGTAACATCCACACAACATAGTTTATCCACATTGCAATAATTTTTAAGAGATTATCCTAGCTCAGTTAAAACATTGTTAATCCTACATTACACAATAGTGTTTTGCACCTGAGTATTTGACATCTGTTCTTTCAAATTACACCCTACCAAAATAGCCAATTTGCACAGATAAAACTAATGTCCAACATTCATTAAGAATCTAGTCACACTCACAAGAGCAACTAATCATCTCACTGATTTGATCTGCGTAACACAAAGAAACACCTCCTTACCAATTCCCACCCAAATAGCCTTCAGGCTTTTCTTCTTGCGACCAGGAGATTTCTAGCATTAAAATATAAAATAGAGGAAACTAATACTAATATTGCTTCAGTCAAGATCTGTCTTAGGGTCAGTTGAGCAAGTTAAAAGCTAATCCACCAACCCAAATTCTCATTAGCTCTCCACACTAGTCAGTTACATGCTGATGAGAGGAGAGAGAGGGGTAGGGAATATACAACACCACCAGGTGCCAGGAGGGGGAAAGCAGCAGCGGAGAAAGCCCTCAGAGAGGAAGGACTACAGCAAGAGAGAGGAAAAGGGACACCTCACTCTCATCAGGAAGACTGACTATACTGCAGCCAGCTTCCTCCTCTACTAGTGACATGAAACAGGAAGACAAAATACTATCAGAAGCAAAGCTATGGAGACTCACCTGTATCAAATATGTCGAGCAGATTAACCAAAGTTTCAAAGGCTGCCAGCCGCACACTGCTGCCTTCATCCCTAGAAAGTTCTATTAATTCAGGGAGCACCACACTTTTGGTAAGTTCTGTCCTGCACAATAAGCAACAGAAGAAAACAAATCAAATCAATAAATTTTTGGTAAGAACGTGATTAAGGATCAGTTGCTGAGCTGCATGCTGCATAAAATAGGAAAAATCATGAGGATATGGCTCCTGCTCTCTGGAAACTTGCAATCTGGCTAGAAAAGAATGACAGTTTAAATATAAGAAATATCCATGGTAATAGCATCATTACTTATACAGCTTACAGTAGCTGCTCAATATATACTCACTAAGTGAATGTATTTCTGTGACAACTAACATGGTTGAACAATGAGGCTGAATATATGTGCATTAACCACTTGTATTTCTTCTTTATGAAGCATAATATTCATTTTCTTTGCTCATTTTCTGTTTCATAAAAGTTCAATGGAAATAAGGCATCATTGTGGACCTAATGTATGATGCAAACATTTTCCCTCTTCATTAGTTCTTCTCAGCATATTGGATTATAGGTGAGGAATTTTTTCAGGAAGTAGATGCAAGGTGTATACTGCCCAAACCAGTCAATTTATGAGACTATCATTCTCTTGTCTCACAGCCAGAAGTATACGGAATAGAAGTCTAAGGACAGCCTGATCCTATTACCTTTGTAGGAGTCCATATTTACCAGTCTAGATGCTGGTAATTACAATCTAAGCCTGTCATGATGTCCAAAGGGTAAAATATAGGAACAAAAAGGTGAATAAGCAAGCTTCACTTTTATCTCTCTTAATACAAACACATCAGAAGGTACTTATCATTTTTAAAGATCATAAAAAGTTTAGTTCTTCAAATAAGTGCCTGTTTTCATGGAATACAGAACAGGATATGCATGGCTGACAATCCAGGAACAAAAATGTAACAAGAAATTGAAAGTATACTTACCCAATGCCCTGAGCTATATTTTCTAATTGCCGACACATACAAGATCGAACTTCATATTCTACATCTTGACAGAGTGATTTTACCAAGGGAAGTATTTCTCTTTTAATGCTAAGAGAGATAAGAAAGAAATATGCAAATAAGTATTTTAGAGTAATTAATATTTTTAAGAAATTATCCTGAAAATCTTAGCTTAAAAACAACATACTTTAATATAGAGCTTTATAGTTTACAAACCAGTCAATCCTAAAGGAAATCAACTCTGAATATTCACTGGAAGGACCGATACTAAAGCTGAAGCTTCAGTACTTTGGCCACCTGATGCCAAGAGCGAAAGACCCTGATGCTAGGAAAGATTGAGAACAAGAGGAAAAGAGGGCAACAGAGGACGAGATGGTTGGATGGCATCATTGACTCAATGGACATGAGTTTAAGCAAACTCCAGGAGAAACTGAAGGACAGGGAAGCCTGGAGTGCTACAATGCATGGGCTCGCAGAGTCGGACATGAGTGAGCAACTGAACAACAACAGTTTATAATGTATATTTATATATGTAATTACATTTGCATGTTAACAGCTACTTTTAATGATTACAGAATCTTTTAAAAATAAGGGTTAATTTGGAATTGGCAGCTAAAACATCTTAGCTAGATAAAAGGCTACAGGCAAGTGGACTATCTGATTCTAGCAACCATCAACCAAAATATTCTTCAATTTTATATCTCACTCTTGCGTCATAATTACATAACATTCCATTCTTTCCACTTGGTATTTATTATCTATGCAGAGAGTAGCGAATAAATTATAAACAATCTCCATAAAACCTCAAAGAAAGATAAATTATTCAACATAATGAATTCATAGCAATAATGGAAAAGAGCAGAAATCTATCTTTACGTCATGTTTATCAATTTTTAAAGACTATAAGATAATATCATGCATCCTCAAAACTACACTACATACATGATGGAAATGACTAATATGGGAAATAAGAAAAAAGTTACCCTTGCTGATTTTGAAAAGCCAAATCAAGAAGAAATGTATCTGAATAGTAGACTTCAGAGATTTCTATATTCTATAAATTTGAATCAGTTAAACTGTACACAGTATGGAGTAGTATAAATATAATTATTAAACATATAGTCATTAAACATTTTAAATCAATTTAATAAAGTAGACAAAAAATTATGTACAAATACTCACGCAAGGGCATCAAATTTGTTGGTCAATTTTCCTAAAATTTTACAACTAACTAAACGAGACTGCACTGTTTGGGAAAGTTGTGCCTTGGAAACGAGTGGATTCAAAATCTAAAGAGAAAAGATTTAGAGAACAAATTTACAAAACTTTATATATTCTTGACATTAATGTCAGCTGTTTACTTCAAAGAACATTTTAATATCCTAAATATTTTTCACAGAACCTCAGTTACATTTTGAGGTCCATAGTTTTTCATCACCTGGATCACTACACTTTCTGGATTATTAAGAAGGATGATAAATCATGCAATCAAAAATAATCAGGCAGACAAAAAATTGAATTAAAGCTTATGGTGAATTCTCTAATGATCTGTATGTACATACAGGTGTAAAACATTCATTTTTCAAAAGAAAAAAGCAAGTTAATTGTCAGATACTGTGAAATTTATTTTTGTTCCATACAGATTAATTTTTGTATTTGTCCTAAGGTAAACAAAACACTGTAACTTCAGGGACTTCCCTGGTAGCCCAGTGGTTAAGACTCTGTGCTCCTAATGCAGGGGGCCAGAGTCAGGGAATTAGATCCCACATGCCACAACCAAAACCCAGCACAGCCAAATAAATAAATAAACTTAACTGAAATGCTATTGCTGATCAAAGTCCAGGCAAACATGCATTTTTTCATATTACTAGTCAAAAGTTTTAAGAATATTAATGCCTTCTAACCCAATAATTCCATGTTATGGAAGTTACAGTTAAGGAAATTGTCTGAAAAACATGAAAAGCTATATGGAGATGTTCACTATTGCCTTACTTTGATAATAAAACACTGAAAACAGGCTTAAGCATTTCATAAATAAGTAAAATATTTGTAGCTACCACCAAATGAGTGATATGAGGAAATAATAAAGAAAATAATGCTAAAGGAAAAACATGTATAAATCACTAACATGCCAAATAGCACCACATACAGGCAAAAATTCTGAAATGAAAATATATCAGAATGCCAAAAGTAGCAAAGTACAGAATCATTTTTCTTCCTTCTATATTCTCTACTACTCAAGTTTTCTATAATGAATATGTGCTGCTTTCAGAGTAGGAAATAACTCTATTCTTTTTGAAATACCATTTTTATCAAAAAACAAAAAACTTAGAGTAACTTAAATATTAAAATTTATATTAAAAAAAGTTTTACCTCATGCCTTAGGGTATCTTTGGGCAATACTTCTATCACAGACAGGAGAGTTTCCAGCCATGCGTTGCTGACACCTGAATGACAAAGACAAAATCTAAGTTAACTATCTCACAAATTCAGTTCCAACTTAGCCATTAATATTTACAACAGACTTTAATTGTAAAATAGCAGTAATTATCTTTATTGCTTCTGTAAGAAGTTTCTCTGTTTTTCTTGTCTTAGCCAATATCTGGAAAACATTGATATTTTTAAAAATAATATCAAGGGGTAACCCAAAGTGTACTTTTTTCTTATACTATAATACTGTGTGTTGTGTAAGAAGCAAATCTAAGAAGAAAGTATAAATTATAAGATGAACAGATGGGTCTTCAGGCTTTAAACGTCACTTAATTTTGTGGGTTTGTCCAAAAAGAGACATCATGAATTTTAGTCACACCACTGACCAACTAACTCTCAGGGAGAACGGCCTCACTCAATTACGGTCATCAGACTATCATGACTCAAATATCACAGCCACACACGAGAAACAATAAGTACATGTAGGATGAAGCATGCCAGGCCCCTGACCTGCGTCCCTGTGCTCCAGGTGCAGTAGGATGACTTGGAGGAAGGAGTGGGCATATGTATGAACTGACACCGATTCGTCCTGTAGGATGGTCAAAAACGATACTGCAGCCGTTAACTGCATTTCCACCCCTGCAACATGCAGGGCATCCTGTATAATCAGAAAGAGTTTGCTATTACATAGATGAGATATCAGAAGTTATAATTTTTTAAAAATCCAAGGTCATAGAAACCAAACAGTCATATTCTACAAAATAACTATATATGACCTTTAAGGATAGATACTTCTTAATACTTTATTTAAGAAAACTACATTAATCTGCTCCTGATTGTTTAACTCATTAGACCACATAAAGTTTTAAATGTCTTAGATAATTTATAACACTCCCATTGCCTTACTGCATAAAAATCATAAAAAGTACATACACCTTTAGATAATAGAATTGGCATTTTTAACAGATCTCAGTTTCTGTTTTCCTATTTGTATTATACAGTTTGCCACCCCACCGAAAACAATCATGCCAAAACTTAAGACAATTGCATGTGTTTTTATTACTTATATTTCTGCTTCAAAAAATAAATATTATGCATTTTACTATAAAAAAGGAATACATTTATGATTGTGAAAATGTATTTTCCCCTTTAAACAAGTGATAAGAACACAAATTACTATGAAGTAAACTTTTAAAAAAGGAATTTTGCTTAATATAAGAATGTTTTTAAAAATTCATATTTTTAAAAAAATTCAAGTTATATTCATAACCATCTCCACTCACCTTTTAAAGTCAAAGTCTACATTAGAATAGTTTAACACATTGAAGAGTAAAACAAAAGAAAACTTATCTTTCATATAAACCTCACCAAGGTCTCACCTGTATTTCTCTAGAAGACTATGTAGGTGTGCATAACATATATATAGCTAAAAGCATTATTTTGTTTAATCAATTACAGTAACTACTGGAATTTCCCCTATATGCCTATTTTTATAACTAACAAACTTGGTAGAACAATGTGGAACTCGCATCCATAAAACAAAGTTTCATATCTGCGATCTTAGGAAAAGTAGTCTTTCTGTATTATTTCCTAATATATAAAACATAGATATGGCTTCATTTTCTTAGAGATTTGATTTAAATCATTTACACAGAAGTTTTATGACTTACCACCTTGTGCAAACTGAGCATTTACATAATGACCACTGTATATCCAACTGTCTCCTCTACACCATCCTTGGATATCTGGTGGTAGTCTCATCACCTGAACCCATCTCTCCCCAAAACCTGTTCCTCCTCCTATCTTCTCCAACTCAGTAAACAATACATGGTAACTCTGTCCTTCCAACTTTCAACCCTAAAACTCTGCAGTCATCCTTAACTCCTCTCAGTTGCTTACTTCCCATAATCAAATGAGCAGTCAATCCTGCCCCAAATCTGACCATCAATCACCTTTATCACTACCATGCTGGTCCAAGCCACCATCATCTCCAGCCTGAATTGCTCCAGTAACCTGCTAATTAGTGTCTGATTCTATCACTGCCTCTCTATTATTATACAGCAGCCAGAGAGATTCTTCTAAAGTCAGATCATGTCACTTTTCCACTCAAAACTCACCAGTGGTTTTCCAACCCACTCAGAGGAAAACTCAAAACCTTTCAATGACTTACAAAGATCTGCTCCCAATTTCCTCTTTTCCCAGATTTCCACACGGTTGGCTCTCTGAACATCCTCAAGCCTCTACTCTCATCACCTTTTCAGTGAGCCATTCCCTGATGATCCTATTTTATTTTTTATTTTTATTTATTTATTTATTTGATGATCCTATTTTAAACTGAAAGCCACCCCTCCGCCCCAGCCCTCACCATAACCCAACTGGGTTGATCATCACCATTATCCAACATACAACACAGTCATTTGTTTACAGTCTATCTCCCACATCTAGAACACAGGCATCATGACTGCAGAATTTTTCGTCTGATATTGTCTGATTCACTACTGTATCCCCAACTCCTACGGCACACAGCAGGCATTCAGTGAGTAATTGCTGGATGACTGAATATCTCTTACCCTTTCACCTAAACTTCCTGCTCTTGTGGCTCTCTCCCTTCACACACTTTGTCCACATCTCCTAAAAGATGGCTTCAAGAGATTTTGAAGTGAGTCCTAAAGATTAGGGATTGGGAGAATTAGATATAAGGCAAAGCAAAAATGGATCATATAGAAATGCATTCTCAATTCTCTATCATGTCAGTATGGAGATGTTCCTGCCATTTTTCCTACCCCAATGTCTCTGTAACTGTGATTTAGACCATGTACCCAGAGCCCTTAATTCAGCATGGTGGGACCACTGCCAGTCATCAGACTAGGAGATAACATATGTCATTCTACAGCAGCAGGGAAAGACGCACAGCCGTTAAGCGTCTGGCTCAAGGCCAGCATGCTTGTCATCAGCAACTCTAAGACTTAAGCTTTGTTGGCCTAATGCCAAAGCCAAGGATTGAATTCTTCCTCCCAGATTCTGTACTCCTCATCACCATTTACTAAGGCATGGCTTACATCAACCCTGAGTCTGTAGGTGGTAGTGTCAGAGACTTGGCAGATGCTTACATGGTGGGGTTCATTCCCAGAAATCTGATCACATATTAGGGTGGCTGATTTCTGTTGCATTTCGTTTTAAACTTTTGTACCACACACACACACACATACACACACACGTCATTTCACAAGTTTTTTTCAATTATGTATCTTAAGAGTTCCAGGCTGAAAAGAAAAAGAGAAGCAATGATAAGGTGTAAAGCAGAGTAGCAACTGGTCTCTGAAATAACCCTCCTACATCCCCCTCCCATACTGTTTCCAAAAAAAACCATTTGCTCCAAACTAAGAATTCTGGATTTGGAAAACACTTCTGGAAGATCTGATGTGGCCAGGATACATCACTTACAGGTTTCAGACGCACAGCTTTTATTTAGAAACAGAAAGCATTTGGCAAAGAAATATTTAAATAAATTGTGAGGGCCACAGTGTGCATTCCAGTTCACATGAGTCTGCTGTTTTAAGTTCCAAGAGATGTGATTCTGCCCCTCTTAAAGTCATTAAGGTCCTGGGTTTTTGGACGTGTGCAAACTTTATGAAAAGAAGGAACAGGAGGAGTTCTCCAGCTTCACATCTTCTTACTGTATTACTTAGTCTTGACTCCCGCAGCAACATATGCCCCAACTATTTTGCATTTAATTTTCGAAAAATCCTCAAGTCTTATCAGGATTTGGGTTTTTCTCTTGTTGTGCTGACTTGAACATCTGGGACTGTCCACTGTTAAGAAACCAGCACAGACTAAGAGACTTCATCACTGCTAAAATTCAATTGATTTCTAAACATTTTTCTGAAACATAATACAATAAGAACATGATACTTACCGGTTCCTGTTTCTCCTCCACAGAGCCACACCCTCTGGACAAACATAGTGAGATCCATACTCTCTGGGTAAATAAGTGTGCATCCTCATGGACCTTGGAAGACACTGAAAAGTAAATTCCTCTATTGCTTAAGTGCATGCCTTAATGCCAGTTACTGTTCCTCTTACATACTATCGTGTGGCTGGCATTCCAACTCAAATTCCTCAAAAATGAAATAAGACATTTTATAAATGAGTGAATGGTACACTTCCAAATTTAAAAAAACGAGTCCCACTCAAGGAAGGAAAATGTACTAGACACTTCTGTGTTTAAATTCAGTCTTTAGTTAGCATGAATGCTGCAAGAAAGCGTTTTGTAGACAACGTAACACAGTCCTTGCAGAGAAGGAAACTGCTGCTTCCAATAAGCCCACATCATATGCATCCAGAAGACCTTTCTCTTTACAATACACAACACAGAGAAGCATAAATAAATAATTGGCTTATTCCAAAAGAGCAAATATTTTGGGTACACATATTTGGAAACTAAACTTTTAAATAAAACTGATAAACATAACTACTATAAAGACTGTTGTTAAAGGTAAAGGAATCCTAAAATTACGAAGTATCTTTGTATATTTTTAGAGATAACATCACTGATTATTTTGAAATTAAATAACATGAGTTAAAAATGAAAATACTAACCTGGGGCAGATATTAAAATACTAACCTAGTATTTATATTTTATATTAAAATACAAACCTACAACATATAAAATATCTGGAGTTCTGAGAGTCACATTGTGGGAATTTTTAGTACCTAACAGTAATAGTGAACAACTCTTTTTACTATATAATTATACTATTTATAAAAGACTTTACAACTGATTTAAATATGAATAATTGGAACACCAATCCTGAAATATCTTTAGCAATTTAACTACAGTATCTCATTCATTCCCTGATCACTGACTGCCATATTCCACACGTACATGAAGGATGGGGAGAACTAGCTGAGAGCATCAAAAATCAAATTCTGAGAGGGGAAAATAAAGAGGAGGAGGCAGACAGGAATAAAAAGGGTGTGTTTTACCCTTCTTTTAATCTGTTTCAGTGATCAGCAAGGTTCATGAGGAGGTACACATAAAAATATCAGAAGATATCTTTCCAAAAAAGGAAACACCAGTACCAAAAGAAACTATCACTTGATGACTGCAAACATGCAATGAAGTATCCAGCCATGCATAATCACCAGGACACCCAAAAAGATCAGTGCATTTGAAGACCATGGTTCTGAAACTGAACTTTGAGCTGGAATGACTCTGTCATTTTTCACACATAATAAATCAGATCCATCAGTAATTTCATGATTTACACTTGAACTGTAAATAAAAATTTAAAACACTGCAAAAAAAGGATGTGCCCATTTCAAAGAAATAACTAACGAACACAAGAGCTATAAATAACCATTTCAAATGTTCCACTTTATTAAACATTTTTTTGAAAAAAGAAATTATTAACTGTTTACACGGGGAGATGGTACTAGAAAGTATGACACATTTCTATAAGCAAGTAATGCCTTCTTTTCTCTCTAGTCAGTCACTTTCCCCTTCTATTCTAATCTCTCTCTAAGCCAATGAAAGTCTAATTTTGATAACATAATTTTAATTTCAGTCATAGCTATTTATTAAGCTGCTGTTGCTCTTTAGTTGCTCAGTGGTGTCTGATTCTTTGCGACCCCATGGATGGCAGTGCACCAGGCTCC